CGTTGCGCCATCTGCCTGCTTCGTTGTGGGAACGTGCATCATTCGCAGCAGATGCATTTTGAGGAGCAAAACAATTTGAAACAAGGGCAACAAGGCTACTTTTAAATATGTTCAAAATACTAACAAGTTTCTTTAAACTTGTATTTTCTAAACAAGTGATGTTTTTGGCAGATAAATTAAGGAAATTACATAAATACAGAAAGAAAGAAATACATAAGAAAAAACTTTGAAGATAACTTGGATGTGTTCACCCCTTTCATCCTTATTTTAAAGCACTGCTGAAGTATCGGACCAGGACTTGGTATGGACAGCCACTCAAAATCAAAAGACTCGGACTCGAATTGGGAACAATAATTGTGATCGGAACATGCGTACTTATAATTTAACATTTTCAGTGTCAGTATAGATAGAGGATGGAAAAAATGGCTTCATGCAACAACAAAAACCTGATAATACTAAGCCATAGGCAACCAGGGCACCAAACTACCTGAGGGATTTTGCTACTCAAAGAAGAAATAAAACTCAACTTTTAAACAGTTTATTTTTAAGAAAAATCAAGTTAGATATGTTATTCTGCCACGTTTTGATGTGCCACACTTTTCCACCATTTTAAATATTTGCAAATATTTTAACAAATCACTGAAAACACTCCTGTTTCTCCATCACTTCTAACAACGTCTCTTTTTCCAGCTCCGTGTAAGCCAGACAACGTTACTGTGGATTTGCAATGCAGCACTAACATAGCCCTAGTCACCTGGAAAAACTCGGGCCCAGACCAGACTCAGGTCGTAACAGCCACAGACCCCAGAGGACTGGTCACCGCCTGCAACTCCAGCAGCTCCAACTGTACCTTCAGTCAGTTGAGCTGTGGGGTGACTTACATCGTCAGTGCTGTTGGCTACACCAACTCATGCAGCAGTGATCCAGCTCTGGCTAAAGACCTCACTACAGGTACTTGGACTTCTCAACAGAGTAGTATGAGACAGCTGTGCTTCTTATGATCTCCCACCTAACCTCTTTTTCTCCTCCACAGCTCCATGTGTCCCCACCCATGTCTCGGTACGAACAGACTGTGCTAGTGGTATCACAGAGGTCACATGGGACCCAGCTCTTGGTGCCACATCGTACACCGTCTATGCTACTGGCAGCCTCGGCTACAAAACTCAATGCGTCAACACCGACACATTCTGCGACTTCAGTAGCCTGGCCTGTGGGCAGGACTACAACCTTACAGTCGTGGCACAAGGAGGCTCCTGTTCCAGTTTAGTCAGCAAGACCGTCACCTTCAGCTCAGGTTAGAGAATGCAACCTTTTATCATTTAAATAAATAAGACACCACATGATAACACATTTCTTCAATTTAAAGACCTTGTTTAGCTATTTCAAAGTCAAAAAAGAAGGAAAAACAAAATGTTTCTTTTATTGCAACTCTCTCTGCTAGGTCCTTGTCCCCTCAGTAATATGAACACATCACTGAACTGTGACACCAACACCGTGACAGTTTCTTGGACTCCCGGCAGAGGCATCTTCACCTATAATGTCAACGCCAATGCTTTTAACATAGTAGACCAGCAAACCTGCTCAACTAATGGCTCATCCTGTAATGTCACCTCTCTGACCTGTGGGGAAAGTTACCAAGTAAGTGTGAGTGGACTGGGGAAGACCTGTTCCAGTCCCGCTCAGACCTGGAACAGAGTGAACGCAGGTGGGTTCACTCATGCGGAATTTGACTTTGTTTACAAAAATATCAATTTTCATGCATCAATCTCTGTCTCACTGAAGGGGGAGTAATCAGATTTGTTCATTCTGCTTCCCTCCACCAGCTCCGTGTCCTCCCACCCAGGTGCGTGTGGACTTTTCCTGTTCTTCTAACAACATCACTGTGTCATGGATGGCCTCAAAGGGCTCGGTCTCCTACATGGCCGTAGCTGACAACGGCAAAGACCAGCTGTGGACCTGCAACACCAGCAGCACTGCCTGTCAGGTCTCTAACCTGCCGTGTGGACAGGACTACAAAGTCTACGTTGTTGGTATTGATGACAAATGCACTGGAGCCAAAAGTAACATAACGAAGATTCAAACTGGTGAGAATTTAAAGCAGAGTAATAGTTTTGCATTGCTATTGATGGTAATGGACGACAGTGGCAGAGCAGTTAAGCTCCCATCTCGTAACCGGAGGGTTGTGGGATCGAGTCCTGCTCAGTCTGTTGCAGTCATGTTCTTGGGCAAGACACTTAACCCACCTAGCCTGCTGATGGTGATCAGAGGGACTGGTGGCACCAGTGTTCAGCAGCCTCACTTCCGTCGGTGCTCTCTCTAAAGCTTGGTTTATGCTTGACACATTTACTTTCCGCGCGGTGATGCAGCTCGCGGACGGAACGCGCTTCACAACTCACAGTGTTTATAGTTTGTGCGGCTCCTCTCTGCGGTGAGCCAATATTCTCCCAAACTGAACGGGGCAGCATGGAGCTCTACAGCATGCATCCAACACTACACCATAGTAGAAGTAGAAATTACTGTTTACAACATGGCATTTCAGCATTTTTAACAGCGTCCTCGTCTTTTCCGACAGTGCGAACTATTTCTCTCCAAGAATTATTAACTACATGTTGATCACGGTGATCTTTGAGAGCTGAATCATACAAATGTCTGTATTTACGAACCTCTGCCATACTAGCTCTTGCCGGTCCACCATGTTTTTCCGCGTCCGTCCGTCCGCGTGGTTAGAAATTTTCCGAGGTGCGCGTTGTGGAAATCTTGGGCCGTGCGGAGACGCGGTGGAGGGGCGTGGTTGTTAAAATGACACAACTTTTCCGCGCAGAGCCGTGCGGACCTCGCGGACGCGTCAAGCATAAACCAACCTAAAGGCAGCTGTGGTTATGTGACAGTGTGAGTGTCCTGTCACTGTGATTGATAATGCGCCCTGGCTACCTGGCCAAGGGGATGTCCCTTTGGCTGACTGGTTAGCGCGCATGACGCTCACTCGGGAGTTTGGGGATCGAGTCCCGCCCGGGCCCTCATTACTCCGCCTTGCCACAGTTACACTGTAGCTCATCACCACCAGCGTATGGATGTGTGTATGAATGGGTGCTTTACAAATTCAAATTCAATTCAAAGATACTTTATTAATCCCAGAGGGAAATTAGAGTTTCAGTACACACAATTCTGAGATCAGACATGCATAGGCATAGAAACATGACAAGAATTGGTGACTGTGGTCATTCGCAACCCGAGTCGCGCTACCTTAATAGAGATCAGAGGGGTTTACATGACGATTGAGTCAGGTGGAGGAAAAAAAGGCACTTCAGAGTTACCCTCCACAGGGAGGGCAGCTTTGCTCTGCAAAAAACTCTCCACACATCAACAGCAGCAGCCACAATAAGCAGTGCTCGCCACCTCCGTCTGGACAGGGGGAGGAGGTCGTTGGGTTTGGAAGGCACAGCGACTCTTGGAACGATTCAGCGGCCTTCACAGCTCGCAGTCCCGCCCAGGCTGGGATAGGGAGACAGAGTTGCCATGGCGACGGCAGCATTCCACATTTCTTCTGAGGGGGAGTATTTGTTTCAGCCTCACAGGCTCAAGGGCACTAGATTCAGATAAGAACTTGTTTTGGGGCCAGACAGAGATCATTTCTTCTCTTAGAGTTTTGCTGGTCCTCAACCTCTCAAAATCCAATAATGGCGTAAATTAATCTATCCCAATCCGTGATGATTTGTCCACTCGCTCCTTGATCGCATCCATCTTTTGTGCCAGAGTCTGAATCTCAGCCAAAGTTCCAAGCTTACGACTCATCTCGACAATTATATGAGTCTGTGCATTCACAGCACGGTGTAATCCATCCCTGAGCTCTGGGAAAGAGTCAGTATTCCTCGACAGCTCATTAATTTTCTGGTAAGCCAGGTAACCTCCCAGGCCAAAAGCAGGAAACCTGACACCAACACCACAAATATCCAGACGTCTTCAGAATCCTCTACAGACAGTTGAGAGAGGCATATCAGGTTCCACTGTTTCCAGGAGTCCATGGTATGCCCAACAACTGGATCTGTCCCAGAGGGGCACCCGGGAGCCCCTTCTCCCCTTCTCATTGTTGAAAAATTTTTGTCAATCACGTTGAGAGACCAGCTGACCAGGTCCATTTTTAATAATTTCCAGTTTCCAGAAAAAATGCAGAAGCGTCGTACACCCAAAGACAGACAAAGAGCCTTGGGGATAAGACAGGGAGGAGAGGAGGAAAAAAGCGTCTGTACTCTCCAAGAGCCAGAAGAAGAACGGAACGGAAGAAGAAATACAGGCCATTTATCATTTCTTACCATTGATGAGAATCCCAGCAACTCCTTCTTTGCTCTCGTTGCAGCTCCGTGTGTGCCAGGGAACATACAGCCAAACCTTGACTGTCTGTCTGGTGTCCTCAATGTTACCTGGCAGTCCACAGGTAACTTCTCACAGTTCTATACCTCTGTGGTGAGCAGCACGGGTCAAGTCAGCACCTGCACATCGAACAACCAATACTGCATAGTCCGCAACTTGCAATGTGAAATGACCTACAGCGTGACCGTGATGGCCCAGAGTAAAGCCTGCAACAGCTCCCTCAGCCCCATAAACAAAGTCACCACAGGTAATTCATAAAGCAATGCAAATATATGCTCCTCTTTATTTGCTTTTCCTTCATTAATTGGATTTTGCTGTTTTCAAACAATTGCTGAGATTTTTAGGCATTACTGAACTTGTCTTGTGCTTTTTCCACTCAGCTCCCTGCCCACCCTCATCTTTCCTTCCTGTTGTGAACTGTGACACTGGAGACTTTTTTGTCAACTGGAATAACGGCATCCCAGGGGTCGTCTACACGGTGTCCGCAGTTAATGCCAGTGGTTTTAAATATAACTGTAGTGGCACGACCAGCGGCTGCCATCTTAGCTCACTTGAATGTGGAACACAGTACAACCTCACGATCACACCGGCCAGGAACGGATGTGTTGGCAGAAACAGTTCGACACACGTTGTCTCAACAGGTAATGGGAAAGGCTCGCTCTTTCCTTGTCCAGGCTTTTTGCCTGCAACACATGCAAGTGATTTACTGGCTGACTGGTTGTACATGCTACAGTGTCGCTCACATTTCTCAGGATTTAATCCAAAGTTTTGGTCCGGGCATCAAAATCTGGATAACTCCATAAATAACTTTGAGGCAGCTGCCGGATTTCATGATCTGCATCTCATTTCCTTTAGTTCCCTGCGTTCCTCGCCTGTCAGCGGTAGAGATTGACTGCCTGACCGACTCAGCGTGGCTGATGTTTAATGAATCTGCCGGTGCTGAAGCATACATCATCACAGCAAATAACACTAAGGGAATGGTCCAGATATTTGAGTGCAACACCACGTCAGATGTGACGTGTGACCTTCCACCACTGATGTGCAGCCAGAATCTGACCTTTACTCTGAAGGCTCGAAACCAGCAGTGCACCAGTGCACCCAGCAACGCTATCTCCAGAGAAACACGTAAATGAAAAAGCTTTATATGTTAAAATATATATTTTTGTCTTTTGAAAAGGAGTACATTTAATTTATTACTGTGAATAGATGGATCCTGTTTCCCGACCGATTACTACATTCATTTGGATTGTGTTTATTTTTTATCCTGAGTAATTCTTTTGTCTTACAGAACTCAAATCTGCCTGTTTGATCTATTGATTCACAAAAAAAGATGTTAACAATTGGATTTAAATAGATAATTTATTCTTAGAAATTTGTGATGAAAAATGTACCATAAAGTGTTTCTGTTTCCGCAGCTCCCTGTCCTCCAGTTAACGTCAACGAAATAGTGAACTGTGACAAAGGAGCAATCACAATCAGCTGGTCAGCTGTTCCTGGAGCAGTGACGTACACGGCCACCCTGGAAGAGCTGACCACTGGTAAATCGAAATGCTGCACCACATCTGGAACCACCTGCAACATCACTGGTCTGCCGTGTGGAGAAATGTTTTCTCTGCATGTCACGGCTGAGGGACGAACCTGCAACAGCTCAGAGAGCGACATCATAATGACGAGGACAGGTAGTTCACCACAGCGAAAGAAAAATACAGAAAACACACGTCTGCAATGTTCAGAAATGGTTAGATAAACAGAAGGTCAAATCCATAAACCTTTGCTTATTTTCAGCACCGTGTGTTCCCGATAATCTGAATGCAAAAATGAGCTGCAGCAACAATGTTGCTACCATGTCGTGGAATCGCAGTAACGGAGGGCAACTTTACACCGTGACAGCAGTCAGTGGCGGTGGCCAGGTGGATGTGTGCAGTTCTCCTGACAACCAATGTGATCTGACAAATCTGCAGTGTGGACTGAACTATACCGCTACGGTGACTGCAGAGGACATACAGTGCAAGAGCAAACCAAGTGACAGTGTGACACTTAAGACAGGTTTGTTTTCTTCATTGAATCGAAACACAATAAATTATGTAACCTGCAAATTTAGTAAAATTATGTTAAAAGTTGAAGATGTTTTCTATTGAGTGAAAGCGTTGAAAAAAAAAACCCCTGAAAATAGCTCATTTTAACCCTCGTGTTTCTCTTCTCAACAGTACCGTGTACTCCTGAAAATACCTCCTCTGTGATGGACTGTCAGGCCAATTCTCTGGTTGTTTCCTGGTCTAAGAGCTCAGGAGCGGATTCATACATCGCCACTCTTCAGGACAGCAATGGCCAGAGCACAACCTGCCAGGGAACAACCGAGGGCAGGTGCAATGTCACAGGAGTCGGCTGCGGTCTAGTCTACCATGTCTCAGTGGTCTCCTCGGATGGATACTGTCAAAGCCCGCCCACGCCAATTCTTAACACACCTTCAGGTAGGAAAGTGTAGAAACATCTCTATGTACATGAATGTGAGTTTATATTAGACTGATATGGTGATAATACTTGTTTATTAATATGTTATTACTGACTTATTAATTATTACTATATCACAGACCAGTGAAACGGGAGTCCACCTGACTAAAAAGGTATTGAGGGATGCACATTTGAGAACTGACACAGGGTTATTACAATGTTACTACAATGTTATTACATACTATTAATGTGGTACTCCTCTGGACTAAAATCCCACCCACGCCAATTCTTAACACACCTTCAGGTAGGAAAGTGTAGAAACATCTCTTCATACACATGAATGGGAGTTTATATTAGATTGATATGGTGATAATACTTGTTTATTAATATGTTATTACTGACTTATTAATGTATTACTATAACACAGACCAGTGAAACGGGAGTCCACCTGACTAAAAAGGTATTGAGGAATGCACATTTGAGAACTAACACAGGGTTATTACAATGTTACTACAATGTTATTACATACTATTAATGCGGTACTCCTCTGGACTAAAATCCCACCCACGCCAATTCTTAACACACCTTCAGGTAGGAAAGTGTAGAAACATCTCTTTATACACATGAATGGGAGTTTATATTAGACTGATATGGTGATAATACTTGTTTATTAATATGTTATTACTGACTTATTAATGGTATTACTATATCACAGACCAGTGAAACGGGAGTCCACCTGACTAAAAAGGTATTGAGGACTGCACATATGAGAACTAACACAGGGTTATTACAATGTTACTACAATGTTATTACATACTATTAATGTGGTACTCCTCTGGACTAAAATATATGGAGACAAATGCACGGCTGTCCAGTTCAGTTTATCCAAGATATTTATCATAGTGGTCTTGTTAGCTAGTGGGCCATTGTATTACTATTCTGTAGCTTGATGCAATTTCCAGATTTGGTGGCTGAAGTACAGCTTTTATTATTCTTCGTGCATCGAGTTTTTAATTTAGATCTTTTCATGATGTAAAAAGGTTCACCGTTTTTCTGTTCATCCCTCAGTTCCATGTATATCGAGACAAATCCAGGCAAGGATGGACTGCAACACTGGGAAAGCCTTAGTGTCATGGAACCCAAGTGATGGAGCTCTTTCATACATAGTCATGGCCACTGGACCTCCTGGTCAAAATGTTAACTGTAAGACCAACATGACCTCCTGTGAGCTGCAAGGTCTTTTGTGTGGTTCGAGCTATTCTGTAAGTGTGATGTCACAAGGCGAGAAATGCAGCAGCGTAGCTAACATGGTGGGGAATCTGGTCACAGGTGAGCAACACAGGAAAATGCACATAAAATAGTGTGTCAATGTGTTTGTGAATGTGTGTGTGAAAACCAGTGGTAGAGTCATGTTGCTGACTCAAGAATGCACGTTACAGAAAAGTCATTCGTCATTCCCCACGCATGCATAAAGAGCAGGTTCACTGAGAAACCACTTTTTACTAATTATTTTTTTAAATAATCAGTCATTCAGAGTTTAACATCCAGGCTGAACATGAAAATAGTCTCCTACACCTATTTCCTGCATCGGCTTCTGATCTCAAAATAGACTGAAAAAGGCTTGGTTCAGAGAAGTCTAAAGGATCCACATCACACTGTCACTAAACATTCACAACTCTCCAATCTTGGCTCGTGACATCAAAGGCTGTTGTCAGTTTAGTGTCCAGGAAACAGCAGAGAACACCTCGACTAGTAGAAGCTAACATTAGCATTAGCAACCTCACCACATGGTAGAACTCTTCCAGGTATGTGTTATCTATAGAGATACCACTAGGTGGCTTAGTGGTAGAGTGTCCATCCTGGGACTGAGAGATCAGGGTTCAAATCCCAGTTGGGTCATACCAAAGACTTTAAAAATGGGATCCAACACCTCCCTGCTTGACACTCAGCTATAAGGGGTTGGATTGGGGGTTAACCACCTAATAGTTACTGAGGGCAGCCAGAGCTGCAGCTCATCGCTCCCCAGGGAGATGGGTCAAATGTGGAGATGTAATTTCACCAGTGTGTGAGGAATAATGGGATTTTACCTTTGAAATGTTGCAGAACAAACAAAACCTGTGGTAGAGCCTTGTTGCTGTTAGCCAATCAGAGGCGAGATATCCAGACATGAGGAAATAAATCCTGCCGTGTTCTTCCACTTTCTCCTCTGACTGACTTCTAACGTCATGAAAAAGGCGCACCAGAGCACTTTACCCCAGAGAAGGACTTACATGGTATTCGTTCCTACTAGAGACAACTGCAAATGTATTAAATATGAGTAAAGTTGATCTTTAATTGAATTCATCAATGGAAAGTAAGAGTCCTGTAAAAATAGAAAGTTAGAAGCATCACACACCGTGCTTGCTGCAGGGTAGAAGAATATGTACGTTACGATCACTTGAAGCTGGGTGTAATTAGGGAAGTCCCGATCAGGTTTTTTTGCCCTCGAGTCCGAGTCATTTGATTTTGAGAATCTGCCGATACCGAGTCCCGATCCGATACTTTCGATACATTAAAAAAAGAAAAAGAAAAGGAAGAAACTGTTCCAGAATGTTCCTTATTTTTTATTTAATTACATTTTTATTTTAATTTCTAACAACGGATCACTTCTGTGAGGTAGCTCGAACGATCAAGTAATAAACAACATAAATTCTTCACTTTTGGACTTTACTGCAAATATAAAAAGTCTAATATAAAAACAGAAAGCACTTCAACCTAAAATAACTGGCAGGGGTCTATTTTGCCTCGACCCCCAAAATGCTTAGATACGTCCCTGCGCATGGGACGGAGTTTTGAAGATGATCTGAATTGTATCAACGATATAAATACTACATGCTGATAAGTTATTGCTTCATACAGGTAGAAACGTGTAGTGGGATCAATCTACCTACATTTAATTTTTTAAGAACTTTGTTTTGTTTTCTTGGTTTTTATTTTCCTGTCTTCCTGTCCTGTCTGTCTCTGATCTTCCTGCATCTCCCAGTCCTCCAGAAAAACTCCAGCCTGCTTCCTTCTTTTTCACCTCACAAGAAACTTTTTAACTAGCAGATCAAATTGATCTATCGACCGCAAAAAAAGCGGAGTGTGCGCCGCGCCGCCCGGCTGCGCCAGTGACGAGCGCTGCAGCGCGAGCGCGTCCACACGTCGTGCTCAAATACAGACATAACTTACCAGAGAGAAAATGAACGGATACGAACGACTGTGTGTTATTTATATATTTTTTGGTGACGCCACTTAGAAACTTAGAAAATGTTACTGTGGCCATATGCCGAGGCCGAGGTCATGAATAATCAGCGGTCTGCCTGCCGCTCTCTGCATCTCTGCTCAAAAGAATCCCCGCTACGCTGAGTCCATGTAAATAATATAATAAAGGTAGAAACTGGATCTCTTTTGTGCTCCTTCTGGGTGTGTAAGTTAAGGGCATCGGGGAGCCAGACAACCTTTAAGGAGAACCAAGATGCTCTCCTGTAATTTGAACCCAGGATCCGAGTCCGGATCGGGGCTTGGATCGGGAAGTAAAGCCCGAGTCCCGATCAGTCTGAAACCATGTGATCGGGGCGATTTCCGATCATGTGATCGGATCGGGACATCCCTAGTACCAATAGCACACATGACCATTTGCTATGCTTTGTGCCTCTCTGAGATCAGGTCCACTCCAGTCCTGCAGATTAGAGACTGGCATTCATTCAAATATTTCAAACATGTTCTTAATAATGGAAAAGTAGAACGGATATAAAACACTTAAAATACTCGACATTAAGGCTGTGCATGCAAAATATAATAATGCACATGCACTGAAGAGTTGTTTTACACTTTATCCATGTATTTATCAATGTATTTATATCTCTCCTTCAGCCAAATGTTATAAAAATAGTCTTAGATAGTCATCATTTAAAATGCATCACTTTTGAACTCCTTAGAAATTGAAAGTCATGCCATAAGTTTAAGAAATAAGTCTAAATTTAAAGTACTTTTTTGATGGTAGTTGTCTTTGCTAGAACATCGACTTGTTTGTAATAAAACAGAGTTTAACTGCATTTGTTGTTTTATCTGCAGCTGTTGATCCACATGTCTTTTTATTTAGGGCCGTGCCCCCCTGAACACATCACTTCTCAATACTCCATGACAATTGGCCAGGTGCAGTGGGATGTGGCCAACGGTGCCAAGTACTACATTGTGAATGGGCAAACAGAGCAGGGCCTCAGTGTCTCCTGCAACACCAGTGACACCTACTGTGCGTTGTATAACATGATGTGTGGACAGATCTACAACATCACAGCCACCGCAAACAACCAAGTGTGCAAAGATGTGTCCTCTGTTGAAGCAGCTACCATCACGACCGGTGAGAAAACATAAAGATTTATTCCATATTCCTAAATGACTTTTTGTCAATATACAGAATAAAAAAAGATCTACAATATAGGGAAGAGGTAGCCTAGAAATCTAGACAGACAGTAGCCAAAACAAATGTATTTTGCTCTGCATATCGGTCTAGCCACGCTCTATTGGAGCCTCAGCAGGTCTAGCATGGGTTTGAGCAGTATTGTGTTATGCCAATCACAGCACTCTATCAGTTTGGTGATGCGCTGCGATGAGGCGATGGAGTGAAAAAACTACGATGGCAGCGGCTCGTTTGAAACAGCTTTGGCATCAACTTTGAACTATTCAGACTTGGGTTTTATTTTAGTCACGAGTAGGGTTGTCACGGTGTGAAAATTTAACCTCACGATTATTGTGACCAAAATTATCACGGTTTTCGGAATTATCGCGGTATGTTTTTTAAACGTGTTACATTTTCAGACAACTAAATAAACCCTGTATATCAGGAAAATATTGTCCTCAGTTTGTGTCTAAATTTTGCCTAAAACGTGTTATTTTGTAATTATGTTGTTTATTTGTTTACATTTTCCCCTTTAGTCTTTAAAATACCAATATTTGCCCATAACTTCTTATTTTTTGATGTCATCATTTTAAAAACATTAGACCAGATGATACTCAGTACTCAAGTAGCTTTCTAATCAGATACTTTTTTTACCCTTACTTGAGTAATAAACCCTATATCAGGAAAATATTGTCCTCGGTTTGTGTCCTTCCAGTGAGCTTTGCAGATGTGGGAAAATCAAACAGGATAGCCGTCTTCTATCAACTGTCCCTCGCCATTCTTCAAATATCCAAAAAATGCCCGTACTTCCCACTTTGTCTTCTTTGAGGGATAATAAATGTCCCGAGCGCTGCCGTCTCCTCCTTTGGTGATTATTTCAGCTTTAGCCTCAAGAAAGTTTTGGGAAAATCGGCTCAAAAAAGTGAAAAAGTCGCACAGTGTACACCCGGCTTTAGACTCTTTGACTAGACTATGTGACTATGCAAGAAGCATCTTTTCTGCATCATTCAACCCACTTTGTCCTTACATTCTGTTTCTGTGACCAGAGCCCTGTCCGCCCAACAATGTGGAAGCCAGTGTGAACAGTCAGAATTACCAAGGGACAATATCGTGGGAGGCCACCTTGGGTGCTGTGAGCTATGAGGCTCAGCTCAGAGGACGTGATGGCCACTCACTAAACTGCACCACTAATAACACATTCTGCACTGTACAAGGCCTCCACTGTGGGGTTGTGTACTACACCAACGTAATTGCTAATGGAGGAACTCTGCCCAGTAGCCCTTCCGCCACTGTGCTGCTGGTTTCTGGTATTGTTCATATATACAAACACATATAGTTTTTGAATTAAAACAGGCATGGAAATATTTCATTTTCATCACAAATCTGTTTCCTGTCTTTAGCTCCCTGTAAAGCTGAAAATGTTGCTGGTATCCTGGACTGCTACAACAACTCAGCGACAGTCTCCTGGAGTTTAGGCTCAGGAGCTAGCTCCTACATGGTGTCTGCGTCATCAGCGGATGGCTATTACACTTACTGTCAGACTGATGGGAACCAGTGCACCTTGACAGATCTGCAGTGTGACCAGATTTACAACGTCACCTTATCAACCATCAGTACCCACTTTCAAATTGACACACCCACTAATGTGACCTTCAACACACGTAAGTCGCAAAACAAAAGGGCATATTTGTGGAATAAACTAGAATGGAACCACTGGTCTTACTATTATAACCGGAGTTCTCACATTGTTAGTTCATTTTTAACAAACTGAACTTGTTGGCTGTCCAGGCCCATGCAAACCAAGGAATGTTGGTGTGGACCTTCAGTGCGGGACAAGAATAGCCAACTTGTATTGGAGCAAAAAAGACTATGTGGAGCTCTACTTGACCACTGCCACCTCTAGCATGGGAACAACTTTGAAGTGCAACTCCACCAACTCCACCTGCCAATTCCCCAATTTAAATTGTGGGGAATTGTATGTATTCTCAGTAACAGCTTACAGTAAAATGTGCTTCAGCGAAAACAGCAGCATCGTGGAGATTCAAACAGGTGGGGAAAGTAAAAATACTGGTTCTATGGCTGCTTGACATTAGGAATCCATAGAATTTCATAATCGTTGATCATCACAATGACAATATTAGATGTAATAAATCGGGATGCACTGATACGAACATCTGCTTGATACTGGATGTGTCAAATTGTATTTATAAGTGTTCTGACATCACTTTACAGTAGAGTTATGTAGTCCTGCAGATGTAATGTAATGCATGTTTTACCAATGGCTTTAATAATGACACAGTTGGTACTTTCCACCTGTAGTAGATTCAGTGTAGCTGGTCACTGAGAATAGAAACAGCCTGATAGAGTTTGGACTCCCATACAGACAACTATGTGAAATTTGACATTATAGGTTAAAATTTCTATACAATAACACAGTATTCATTTTAAATGTCATTTACACCTCACTCAAAAATAAAATTTGATAAATGGCACAAATCACAATTACAAAGGAATGAAATTCTCCTTTTCCACTTGTTCATACATTTTTTCTATTCCAGAACCTTGCCAGCCAACTGGTTTGTCAGCCAAAGGATCATGCAACAATGACACAGTTGTGCTAAACTGGTCCAAGGCTAAAGGGGCACTGATTTATGAGGTGACTGCCTTTGAAGACCAGGGATATGTAGCAACTTTCCAAACGAACAGCACGACATTAGAAACTGATCTGCCATGTGGACACCAGTTTAACTTCACTGTAAAAGCTCAAGATAATAGATGTGAGAGCCCTCAGAGCAAGGCAGCACACTACAAGACAGGTATGTTCTCATGTTTCTTCGTATCATAAGTTCTGTAATGACTTTTGAAGTAACAGCTGTTACTCTCTACAGGTCCCTGCATCCCTGAGAATTTGGATAGCTACACAAACTGTGAGGACAATCTGGGCTCGGTCAGCTGGTCCGTCGCTGCCAAAGCAGAGTGGTATCTGGCTGTCGCAATGGGACAGGATGGCAACACCTATGAGTGCACCACGAACGCAACCACCTGCATCTGGAATAATCTGCATTGTGGTCAAAACTACACAGTTAACGTTGTTGCATTTGACTACACGTGCACGAGCATGCCAAGCAACAGAACAATAATCCGGATGGGTAAACAAACATTTTGATGTTCCGATTAAACAAAGAAGCTTCAGCATTAATTCGCTGCTACAGTAGTTTGTTTATTGGTCGCAATGTCTCACATCTTCTCTTTTTAGCACCGTGTATACCAAATAATCTGAAATCGTCTTTTAACTGCACTACAAAGGTGACTGCTATCTACTTTTGCAAAACAAGACATTTCATTAAAGTTTAAACCATTTTGAATTACTGTGAACTCGACTAAACATTTTTCCACAATAAGTGTCTGACATGGTCTCTCTTTTTAAAAAGGTGGGATCACTGACTTGGAATGCAAGTAAAACTGCAGAGTTTTACATCGCAACTGCAGAAACCATCAGTGGCTACAAAGTACAGCTCAGCACCAACAACACAAAGGCCTACTTTTCTGAGTTTGCATGTGGTCAGCAGTACTTCCTGTCTGTTCAGGCAGCAGACTCAGTTTGTACAAGTCGTTCCAGTCCACCTTCAACGGTTATGTCAGGTAAAATCTTATTGCACACTCGGAAACAACCATTTTACACCAAAATTCTCCCCAAGGAGGGACAATAAAGGGATTTTCTATTCTATTCTATTGCCAAGATACATTCACGTTTTCCTATTCTCTTGTTGGAAGTTGTTCTGTTTAAGCCCTGGCTAACGTTCGATTAACTTCTTTCTCCTCGTTTCCCTCAGAGCCCTGTCCACCCACCGGTGTTTCCAGCCTTATGAACTGCATCTCCAGCATAGCTATGGTGTCGTGGGTCACTTCAACTGGAGCACAGTTCTACATCGCTACAGTAACAGCAGCGGATGGCAGTTCAAATATCTGTGCCTCTGATAGCGACCAGTGTGCCATGCCGAATGTCCCCTGTGGACAGAATCACACAGTGACTGTCGTCGCCTCCGACAATGTCTGTAATTCAGACCCTAGTGGGCCTAACATTCTGCAGTCAGGTGAGGAAAAAGAAATAATGGCTTATTGCATTTTATTAATGAAAACAAATAAAAGACTTATTTGAATAACGTAACTCCCTACATTTCATTCTATCCAGTTCCTTGTATTCCAACTAATGTGAAAATAAACATCAGCTGCTCCAACAATAAAGCAGTTGTGTCCTGGAATCCTAGCAAGGGGGCTCTGAGGTATACCGTGGTAGCTGAGAGTACACTGGGAGCTATTGCCAACTGTAACACTACAAAACTATGGTGTACTTTGACCAACTTGACGTGTGGACAACAATACTCCGTCCAGGTGACTGCACAGGATAACATCTGCTCAAGTTTGCCCAGCCCACCTGTTGACTTCCAGTCAGGTAGAATAAGTGTTACATATACACAATTCATCTTAGGTCTCTACAATTTACACATCTGAATGTAGGCATTTGCTCAACAAGTGTTTCTCTTGGTTATGTCTTTTAGTTCCCTGCATACCCAACAATGTCTCAGTGGCTTTGGACTGCATCACCAACTCAATCCTTGTGGACTGGCTGTTTGCTGAGGGTGCCTTGAAGTACAAAGTGAAAGCTCAATCGTCCACTGGCCAAGTTTCTACCTGCAACGCCAACATCACCAGCTGTGAGCTGGGGAACCTGCAGTGTGGCCAAACCTATAATGTGACTGCAGTGGCCTTAAATGATCAGTGCAGCAGTCCGCCCAGTAATATGTTGCAGATGGAAACAGGTAACTACCAAAAAAACCGAAGCTAAAAACAAAAGTGTACCACAGAGTTCTGCATCTATGCTTAAAGTTTGAGCTGTTGATACCTGGTTATTTATACGTATGACTCTATTTATTTACATCCTCAGTGATCCTCTTTGACATTTGGTTTTCTTTCACCAGTGCCTTGTCCTCCAAAGAATGTTGCAGTTGTTCTGGACTGCTACAGTAACACAGCACAGGTAAACTGGCAGGCCAGCAGGGGAGCGCAATCCTATATTGTCCAAGCTCTTGGCATCGAAGAAGGTGAAAGTAGCTGTTCCACAAACTCACTTTCCTGCACTCTGCAAGACCTCAAGTGTGGCTTCACATACAACGTCAGTGTGATTGCTGTGGACAGTATGTGTAATGTGTCGCAGAGTGACGTTCAACTGCTGCAAGCAGGTAAGCATAGAGAGCATATGTTTTTACTTGGTCAAACTATGGAAGTCTATTTGGAAAAATGATTTGATCAGAAAAGGAATATTTTGTTATCTTAATTTTGAAAACTGATCCAGATATTTCTTCCCTTGTGTTTTTGTAGTGCCTTGTGTACCAAACCTGGTGCAGGCTCATGCGGTTTGTGAATCAGGTGGGGTGATGGTCTCCTGGGAGCCAAGCAAAGGGGCTTTATTTTACACCACGCTTGCCCAGAGCAGTGGTGTAAACCCTTCAAAATGCAACAGCACTGACACAACTTGCCAGTTCAATGACCTACTGTGTGGCCTCAAATACTCAATTGCCGTCATTGCTCAAGATAATATGTGTAGCAGTATTGAAAGCTCTTTTGTCGAAATCAACACAGGTAAGAATCAAGACCTCAAATATTTATGATTTGAACACGCAAAAAGAAAATAAAAAGGTCTTTTTCTTTCTTCTTACATGCCTTTCCTCTTTCCGCTTGAAGTGAAATGCGTACCACAGAAAGTAAAAGCAGAGATGGTGTGCAGGAACAACACAGGCGTGGTGTCATGGCAAGGAGATCCGGCAGTGTCCTCCTACAACGTGCAAGCTTTTGGTCCCGATGGTAACAAAATACAGTGCAACAGCAGTGATATCAGTTGCAAGCTGCCGGGCATGCACTGTGGCCAGCTCTACAACCTGACGGTTACAGCTCTGGATGGACGCTGTGACAACAGCAATGCCTACCTCACCCTAGAGTCTGGTAAATACGACATTTGGTTTGGTCCCCCGCTTCATTGCAACAACATTTCTTAAGCCATGTTTGCCGTGAGATTCCTGATGACTGTTTTGATTGAAAAAAAAGAATTTCTTACAATCTGATAGCAAATTAAACCAGATGTATTTGGCTCTAAGTATTTGGGGTGATTCAATTCAATTCAGTTCATTTATGTTGCACCAAATCACAGGAGTCATCGCAAGGCACTTTACAAAGAAAACATTTCATTTGAACCTACTTGTCAGTGCACTGAGTTCAGTTCATTATGCCAATTGGTTAAATGTTTCCAATGTAAGGAATAGGTAGCATGGCCTGCCAGACTCCTCCTCTGTTTAACTCATTCGCTGCCAGCGTTTCTCACAGTTTTTACAGTTTTCTTAAGAGTCACAGAGCGTTGCGCGCTAGGATGACGTTGACGCCAAAACAACCAAAACAAAGCAGAGACTCACCTCTTACATCAGGAAAAATCCGCGCGTTTCGAGCGTTATCCGTTCTTTCATAATCCGATGTTGAATTGTAATCGGCAGAAGATTTTCCGGTTCGCGCCTCGCTTTTTTTTACAGCAGCGGCCCAAAACGATCTCCTAACACATGGATTTAAAATGGCGACTTTAGTCATCAATGGCAGTGAATGAGTTAATTCTACACAGAAAACGAGTCTGGCTACTCACAGGCAGAGGCACACGAGAGGCGGGACTAGCCAGCTCAAAAATAACCAATCAGTAAAAAGGCAGAAATGCCGAATGTACCGTGCGGCGCTGTAGTTTTTTTAGCTATAGTCAAAAATGGTGTCTGGCGACAGCGCTAATATCTTTCTGTAGAAGAAAGGCTTTTAGCGCTTCTACTCGTTGTGGTTTTAAAGACACGTTCAAGTCATTTAGAAATGAGGAAAGAGCCGCAGCTAACTCCGCTTCAGTCGCCATGTTCATGAGAAACTCAGCATCACGGTGTGTGAATTACGCTGCTCAGCGCTGATTGGCTCAGGTAGAATTCTCAGGGGGTGGGGTTATTTGAATAGGAGAGTTCCCTGGCTGGTCAGGCTAAGGAATCGGGTGTGCCAATTAACCATTTAAACGATGCATCGCAGTGCAACACATGTCAATTTAATTGATTTGCAAACATCCAAAAACAATTATAAATAAATGCCAAAAAACTGCTGCAAAGTGAGGGAGAACGGAAAAGTTGTTTGTGCTGCCCGGACACGTTAGCGAACAAACCAGAGGGGAAAAAAACGGCAATGGTGGCAGATTGTTTCTAAGTTAAATTTACTCATCAGGATTAAATGAAAGGCACTACAGAGGTACGCAAGAGAAAGTGAAGCCAGACAAATAAACCAGCTCTTCTCAACCCAACCAGCCCTCAGTGGCAGGGTAATAACAGCAGAGCAGACCCACCAAGGCTGGAGACTGAACAGTACTTGACCTTAATATGGGAGAAGGAGGCATCACATCAATAATCGAATCATAGGACCTAGGAATTGAATCAAATCGAATCGTGAGGTACCTGAAATGGCACACCTCTAGTAAGGAACCAAGCAGACTGCATCGAGTCACTGACTTGTTGTGTCAAGTGACTTTACAACAATCCCCATACTAAGCAAACATAAAACTCCCCAATAACAGGAAGAAACCTCCATCAGCCATCTGCTGTGCCTCGCTGGGGGTTTGAAACAAAGATTTGTTTCCAACAGGTATCAAGCTCAACATCCAAATTCAATTCCTTCCCCAATAAGCCAAAACTGATCTACGGTAGCATTTTAGCAGTACTTTCCTTAGATTTGATCTCATTTGCATTTGAACTAGCCTGGCAAGCCAGACTAAATAAATGTATTATTTAGTCTGGCCACGCTCCATTGACGGCTCTCGGTTGTGGGGCGGGTTCTAACGTTGTCTTTCAAATGATCTCTGCATGCTATTGGACAATGAATGTGACATACTCTTGTTTCACTCTGTTGCATCATCCCACCCACCAGGCATATAGAGTGCCCTGATTGGCCCACAAAGCGGATAAAGCTCTGTGATTTGTTCACTAAGCAGATAGAGCACTATGATTGGCCTACCATTATGGACCAATCACAGCTCTTTATGTGTTTGAAACCCCTCTAGAGAGCTGTGATTGGCTAGCCAGAGTCCTGGTAGGAGCTGCTGAGGTTCCAATGGAGCATGCCTAGACCATTCTTTGCAAAGCAAGAATTTGGTCTAGTTCACTAGGCTACATTTGAACATCACACATCCAAGATTTTTATGCCATGCATTTCTCCCTTTTTTTCTACCAGTTGCTTGTAAGCCAACAAACGTCAAAGCTTCTCTCCAGTGCAACACAAACTCTGCTGCAGTGACATGGGAGAAAGCCAGCGGAGCCCTCTCTTATGTTGCCATGGGAGATTCAGAGGATGGAAGTCAGCACTTGGAGTGCAATAACACCATGACATACTGTCGCCTGAATGACATGATGTGTGGACATACCTACAACGTGAGCGTGTTCAGCCAGGATAAGTCCTGCTCCAGTGTTAAAAGCGACATTGTGCGCGTGAGATCAGGTACGGTGAACATGTCACATTTAAACTCCCCCCAACTGTGTGATCTTACGTGATGTGCCGAACTGTCTGCAAGTAAACGTCTCTCCTTCTATTTCATCTTTCAGCCCCTTGTCCACCCCAAAACGTGTCTGCTAAAGTAAGATGCGCTGATGGTGCCATTTTAGTCTCCTGGTCTCCCAACCCCGATGCCCAGTATTTTCATGCTTTGGTTGTGAGCAACACTGGAGCCAGATTCTACTGTAACTCCACTGTCAACAATTGTACAGTTTCCATTTCTGCCCCACCACCTTGCGGTCAGAACTACAGCATCACTGTGCAGTCTGTCCGAGACAGTTGTGAGAGCAAACCTAGCGCTGTAGCAACGACTGGTTCAGGTAAACGTCAGTCAACAGTGGCTTCTAAAATGACTCATTTTTACACACATTTATATATTAGAAATGAATAAATGCTCTTAAAGGTTTTGATTATTGCTCTTCTGGTGTAGAAAGCCTACTGCACACCGGAAGCATCAGTGGTGTGGAACAGCAGCGGAACGTCACTGCTTCAAATAGAATCCGTTAAAGTCTATGGGGGTGATTCAAACCAACTGCGACACTGCAATTTTCAGGCGCGTCCCAGATGCGGCACGCCGCTCTGCTAAAGATGGAATCAGGTTCTATTTTTGCCACAAGCCGCTTCTGGGATTCCACAATTTCCACAGTTGACATAGGGCTAGACAGGAAATCACGCACGGTTTCAGTGTAAAACCCCAGGTAATTTTCAAAATAAAAGTCCATTGCAGTGATGCGATTTCATATCTACGTAGATTACGTCAATACAAGTGACCTAACAGCTTATTTACTCCCTGCATTGTTCCAGAAGTGCAGTGGTGTGTTTTTCATGGCTTTAATCCTGGCAGTGGAATGGAACATCATATATGACATCAAACAGCGATATACAACGTATAACCTTTTTTTTTGTTTGATGGTGGATGGCATACAGTCGAGGGATTTTATGATTTCGCAAGTTAAGCGAGGAGGATGGCAGAAGTCTTGAGAGATTTTGTGATCTTGTGAGTCAAGCGAGGAGAACAGCGGAGAAGCTACTTCGTGATTGAGACTCTCCCAGTGTGCTCTGGAGTGCAGCAATTGTCGCAAGTAAACCTTTCGGCTGCCGTTCCATGCCACTGATGCTTCCAGTGTACAGTAGGGGTTAGTGTTTTTCATCATATCATATAAGATCAACATGCACAATATGAACTCATTCACTGCCATTGACGACTAAAATCGTCATTTAAAATCCAACCATCCATCCATTCATTCATCCATTGTCTGAATCTACTATGTCCACGTAGGGTTGCGGGGGTGGGGTGGGGGGGGGTGGGGGGCTGGTGCCTATCTCCAGCGGTCAATGGGCAATCAGGCGGGTATATCCTGGACAGAGAGCCAGTCCATCGCAGGGCAACACAGAGACACACAGGACAAACAATCACACACACACACACACCTAAGGACAATTTAGACAGACCATTTAACCTAACAGTCATGTTTTTGGACGGTGGGAGGAAGCCGGAGTACTCGGAGAGAACCCACGCATGCACAGGGAGAACATGCAAACTCCACGCAGAAAGATCCCAGGCTGGGAATCAAACCCAGGACCATCTTGCTGCAAGGCAACAGCTCTAACCACTGCGCTACTACGCAGCCTTTAAATCCAACCGTTCACTGCAAATGACGTCTAAAGTCGTCATTTGCATATTTTTACTGTGTGGGCATCAGAACAAGCCCCCGCACTGTGAGCACAAACATCTCAGCTCTGAAGCCGATCTTCATTCGCGTACGTCACACGTCACGTGATCAGGAAGCAGAAAATCCATGTGTTAGGAGATCGTTTTGGGCCGCTGCTGTAACAAAAGTGAGGAGCGAACCGGAAAAGCTTCTGCCGATCACAATTCGACAACGGATTACGGAAGAACGGATAATGCTCGAAACGCGCTGATTCTTCCTGATGTAAGTTTGGTGTTGACGTCATCCTAGCGCGCAACGTTCTGTGACTCTTAAAAAAAACAGTAAAAACGATGAGAAAAGCTGGCAGCGAACAGCTTTACCGATCAGGAAACGGCTGGCAGTGAATGAGTTAATAACAGTACTCATGCAAAGTAGATGCATGATGACAGAATATGTGGATTTTTTGCCACTGACATTTTCCCTGCAATATTTAGTTGTCTGAATTGCATGTTTTCCAAATACCATGCAGGCCTAATGTGTAGTAACAAACAGTATGCTTGTGTCTGAGTTCTCAAAGTAATTGGTTATATGAACTGACAAATTGTAATCTGAAAATAAACAACATAATTACAAAATAACACATTTTAGGCAAAATTTAGACACAAACGGAAGACAATATTTCCTGACATACAGGGTTTATTTAATTGTGAAAATATAACACGTTTAAAAAAAAATACCGCGATAATACCGAAAACCGTGGTAATTTTGGTCACAATAACCATGAGGTTAAATTTTCACACCGTGACAACCCTAGTCACAATGTCGTTGTGAGCCTGTGTGTGTGTGTGTGTGTCTGTTAGCGGCTCCACCCTCTTGGTCTGCTAGGCAACATCATTTGTTGCATTTTTCAAACAGGAAGAGCGGAGTTAGACTCTGGTAGGGGGTGACTTGCTCTTTAAAGAGCAAGTTACATCTTAACCAAAAAGCACTATAGTTCCAAATTATTGACTACACGTATCTACAGCACAAATAGACACTCATTCATATAGTTTAACAGCAAAAAAAAAAAAGTTGATTTGGGGGTGAGTTTCTCTTTAAGCTGCAAACTCTTTCTTTTTCCTCACACCCCTCAACAGCTCCATGTGTGCCCAAGAATGCTAAAGGCTCTCTGGATTGCCTCTCGAATGCTGCCTGGGTGTTGTGGGACCAATCAGTCGGGGCAACCAGCTACTTTGCGTTGGCTCAGGCAGCCGACGGCCACAGCTTCAACTGCACGTCCTCCTCCACAACCTGTGAAATTACAGATCTGAAATGTGGAATGCTTTACACGTTCTATGTCACAGCGACGAATGAGTTCTGCAGCAGTAATCACAGCAACACCTTTGAACTTGAGACCGGTATGAAAAAATATGATAATGGAGCCGTTTTAACAGATAGGAGCATCTTGTGTCATAAAGTTGGGATTTTCTAAAAGACTGTTTTGCTATCTTTTTTAAGGTCCTTGTGCTCTACAGGCCATCAGTGCATTTACTGATTGCAACAGTGAAATCATCATGGTTGAATGGGAGCAAAAGCTGGACATGCCTCTCTACCTGGTTACAGCTCAGGCCGATGATAAATCTACGATTTCTTGCAACAGCTCATCCAATTCATGCCTCCTCTTCAATGCCCAGTGTGGCACACAGTACACTATCGTAGTGTCAGCTTCTTCTGACAAGTGCAGCAGTCTGAGAAGTCCTCCAACAAAGATTAAAACTGGTAGTCAATCTGGCAGATTCGTTTAGTCACTCGAACTTTTTGATGCATTTAGGTTTGAAGATGTCTAAGGAAAATATGTTCTTCTTTAGCACCATGTGTTCCAAGCGATGTGACAGTGGTGCCATTGTGTGACCAGAATGGGGCTGCAGTGTCATGGGCAAACTCGGCTGTGGCCACATCCTACTATCTGACGGCCACGGGGCCAAATGGAGATGTTGTAACCTGCAACAGCTCAACAAACAACTGCACCCTGCCGATGCTTCACTGTGGCCAGACGTATGGCTTAAGCATCACGGCCAAAGGAGACAACTGTACCAGCTACCCCAGCCACATGCCGTATAAAACAAGTATGAAAAATATGGTTTAGTTAGTTATATTTAAAATCAAGGAGTATTATTTATGACTTATGGCATTGTCTGACTGCCCTCATCTCTTTCTATTCAGCACCCTGCCCACCCACCAATCTTGCTGTGGATACTGACTGTTACACCAACTCTGCTGTCCTGTCTTGGAATAAAACTGACAATGCTATTGAATATTTTGGCCTGACACAGTCTGGGAACCAGGATCCTCTCTACTGTGACAGTAGTACCACTTCCTGCACATTCCAACCCCTGCAGTGTGGTGCCATTTACAATTTCACTGTTAAAGCCTTTGATGGCACCTGCAATACCTCATATAGCTTACCTTTTGAGATGGGCGCAGGTAATTGATTTCATTTAAAGTAAGCAGGGTGACATATTACTACTGAGCGCCTATGTGTTACCTGAACACTCCTCTTTCTCCCTAGCACCATGTCCACCATCTAATGTGAGCATTCGCATGCAGAGAATAAAACAAATGTACTGGGCCATGACATCATGGAGCCTCGTCAACTGTTCAGGCGTTGAGTACATGGCAAAAATACAAGGCCAAATTGGAAACAACCCTCAAACTCTGATGAATGTCACCTCTTACTGGCTGCGCAGACCATACTTTGAGCTACCAATACCTTGCAGCACAGCTTTTAACATGACAGTATTCTCCAGAAACTCAGGTGGAGTCAGCAAGCCCTCCAGCATCTACTCTGGAATCTCAGGTAACTTTAAGTGCAAAATATACACCGTCTTTTATTTACCGTTTTTCTCAGCTTCAAAATGTGTTTTTTTTTATAAATAAAATGCCCTTCAGTTCTTTTAACAGCATGGTCACGTTTTGTTTTGCAGCTCCCTGCCCTCCACAGGGGGTGAAATATTCAGGTAACACGCAGTCCGCTGTGCTGTCCTGGAATGCATCAGCGTTAGCCACAAGCTACACAGTCTACAGTGTATTAGGGGGAAGCCGTGTGAAGCTCTGCAACACCACCGGGCTCTCCTGCATGTTGACCAACCTTGATCTTAATACCACTGAAGTGAAAGCATGCAATAAAGTTGGAGAAAGCAACCCTAGTCAAAACATTACAGGTAAAAAATTAAAGTGACACTAAGCAGTTTTTAACACTTTAACCAATTCCTTTGAAAATGGGGTTCAGAGACTGTGATGGTAGAGTCTTCACCAGCTTCACATTCGCTGCAGCCCTCTGCTGACCAGAAACAGCTCTCACCAGTTTTGTAGATCAGGTAGGTGTCCTAGGGGGCGCGCTTTACCCGCTTAACAGCAGTTGGCTACTTTCTGTGCCAGTAGCTAGCAGTTAGCCTTTTCAGTTTGCCGACCGCTAATAAAAAACACAAGAAAAAAAAAATTGTTTTTTTGTAGGCATCATTGCGGAGCCTGGGAGTAAAAGTCAGTAATGATTTTGGAGGTGAAGCAAAGAGCTAAAACCAGGGTGAACATCGTCACACACTTATCTGAAGAAGCTAAAGGAGCATATGGAGTCAGGGGCTAACGTTGACCTGGCTTCACAGTGAGATTTAACAGGTGTAGAAGACAGTCCCGCCCCGTGGTGTCAACAGGTGCCTGTCGTGGCTGCAGATGTCTCATTGCATCTGGACACGACGACTTAAATGTAAAATTAATTGGTTAAAGTTACGAGATACTGTATTGTGTATGTAAACAGCTAGCGAGTCCGTCCGTGGACCGTGCGTGGCAGGAGAGGCAGTTAGCTACAATGGTAATGCAAAAAGTTATTTTGCCAAATTTATAAAGTCTACATACCTCTGCTTTGGGCCCGTTTTTTTCCTTCTTCCTTCCTTTGCTTCCAGAATGCTGATTCCAATGGCTTAGGTGTTCTTTTCATCGTAAAAGATATCAAAAATTTCAACGCGATGACAACAGGATGGCCTTCTACAGTGCTACCCACGCACGTGATCTACGGCACCCTTAACGGTCAAATGCATCAGAGCGGTGGCTCAAGCGGGAGCTCGTCATGCAGCCAGATTATTAGAATTTAAATATTGATGTTTTAATTTCATGTCATTTCAGAGGGGAATTTTGAGTATGTAGAGAGTGCATTTCATATTACAAACATAAATTTAATAAACTTTTTATTATTTTTATTTATTTATTTATTTTAATTTTGCGCCCTATACATCAGATGGCGCCCCAGGCGGCCGCCTGTGTCGCCTGTCGGCGAAGCCGGCCCTGCACCAAAGCCTGAACACGTGAGTTTTCAGCTGCTTTTTAAAGGAGACCACTGAGTCCACTGATCTCAGACTCAAGGGGAGAGAGTTCCAGAGTCTGGGGGCCACAGCAGCAAATGATCTGTCACCTTTGGTCTTTAGACTGGTGTGCTGCACAACCAGTAGGCTTTGGTCACTGGACCCGAGGGACCTGCTGGGGGTGAAAGGCCTGAGAAGATCACCAAGATCACAGGGCCTGATACCCCATACAGAAGTATTCCTTAAAGGGCCCCCTGAGGGACGTGGTCGAACACCTTCTCAAAATTCACAAAAAACATGTAGATAAGTTGGGCAAACTCCCACCCAACCTCCAGGACCCCCCTAAGGATATAGAGCTGGTCCAGTGTTCCATAGCCAAGACGAAAACCACATTGCTCCTCTTGAATTCAAGGTTCGACAATCTGCCGGATCCTCCTTACCAGAACCCCTGAATAGACTACCAGAGAGGATCAGGAGTGTGATCCCCTGTAGTTGGAACATATTCTGCGCTCCTCCTTTTTAAATAGGGGGACCACCACCTTGGTCTGCCAATTCAGTGGAACTGCCCTGATGTCCACGAGATATTGCAGAGCTGCGTCAGCCAACGCCATACTACAACATCCAGAGCCTTAAGGGTCTCTGCACAGATCTTATCCACCCCTTTGCCACCAATAAGTCTTTTGACCACCTCAACGGCTTCAGCACTAGAGATTGGAGAGCCCAACCCAAAGTCCCCGGACTCTGCTTCTTCACTGGAAGACGGGATTGAGGATGTCTTTGTCGTACTCCATCTACCAATCCACAATGTCCCGAGTAGAATTCAGCAGCACACTGTAACCACTATAAACAGTGTTGGTAGAGCACTGCTTCCCTCCCTAAGGTGCAGAATGGTGGACCAGATTCTCCTTGAAGCCGTACGGAAGTCTTCCTCCATGGTCTCACCAAACCCACACCTGGGCTTTTGCCTCTGTGACCACCAGGGCCACATTCTGCTTGGCCTGCCAGTACCCATCAACTGCCTTTGGAGTCCCACAGGCCAAAAAGATCCAATAAGACTCGTTCTTCAGCTTGACGGCATCCTTAACCCTCAGTGTCCACCAGCGGGTTTGGGGATTGCCACCACGACAGGCACCGACGACCTTGCAGCCTCGCACAAAAACTCAGGCTCTCCACTAGAGAGGTCCCATGTTTCCTCTTCGGGCTGTGCCCGGCCAGGCTCTAAGTGTGAAAGTCCAGCCACCAGGTGCTCGCCGACGTGCCCCACTTCCAGGCCTGGCTCCAGAGCTGGGCCCCGGTGAACTGCGCGTCCAGGCGCGGGAACACCGTTTCCATTTGTATTAGTCATCATTAGGGGTCTTTGTTAGTAACCTGCATTGCATTATGTTTTCATCTAATTTAACTTATCTTCTTCATTAGATTTGATGACATACAAGCAGTTGGATCCATTTATTTTAGCCCAGTCTACATTTATCATAAAACTGTTTGCTCATTGTAGAATCAGAAATGTGTATTAGATCAGCTACCACAATCATGTTTTCTTTCCTATTTTTCAGGACCAACGAGTGCACGCAGACGACGAGATCTGCATGCCACACAGGAAATGTATTTACAGTATGATTATTCACAGGAAGGTAAGTGTAATGGCAATATTGTGTTTTAAGACCCATTAGCCCAGTGATAGGTGTGACTATTTAGCTGTTGTGCTTCTTCTCTATCTCTTAGATGAGGGCATCACAGACCTTAAACGCCCAGAGGTGGTGAGTGTAACCATAAGTGGAAGGTCTTTGCATGTGAAATGGAAGATGGTCGAAAATGCAGAAGAGTACACACTTATCTTAGAGGACGAGCAGGCAAACCTGCCACTGAGAGTGAGACACGTGAAGGGTGATTTTCACAAAGAGACTGGGATCCAACCTGGAACCAACTACTGCGTCAGAGTGGCAGCCAAGAACAACAACTACACTGTCAGCCAAAGCAACTACTCTAAGCCGAAGTGCACAAACATTGAGGCCTTGTAAAAGAACAAACACACACAGGATTCACTTACATAGAGACTGGATTAAAGAGAGATCACTTTGGTTACATGCTTGTCTCCTCTACACATTAGCATTTATCACAGGGTAGTTTCTGCTTTGATTTCAATAAAAAATAGGAATATAACTAAATAAGATGTGATTGCACATGTGAAACCATAACAAAATGATTATCTTTGGGGTACATCTTTCTTTGTCACAATGACGTTACGCATTTTAAATCTGAACTTTTAGCCATTATAGCTAACGAGATACTGCTGAAACTATATTTATCAAAGATGGGTATGTTTTTGAGATAGGTCATTAGACTCTGGATGATTGTCAAACCAAAACAAATATTAATAAACTGAAAACCATTCTGTATATTTTCTTTTTATTGTACTACATGAATTCTCTTTTGTGAACTGTTTGTAACTGTTCCATAAATGATAAGAAAAATCTATGAAACATTAAAACACATGTGCATTTTTTTTAAACACATTATGTTCTAGTCATCTAGTATGATACATGATAAATGACATGCACTTGCCTAGTACATTTCTGAGTCAACGGACTTCAAAGTGCTTTACACTACAGTCTATCACTGATGATGCGCATGATGAGCTGCATTTTAGCCACAGCTGCCCTGGGGTATGCTGACAAAAGTGAGGCTGTAGTAGGTAGGTGCCACCAGTCCTTCTGACCACCACCACTAGGCAAGGAGGGTGAAGTGTCTTGCCCAGGGACTCAATAAATATCAAAAGAGCATGGGTTCAAAATGAGAAATGATAAATAAATGGCCAGCACTTGTAGCATCTTTCAGAGCGAGAGTACTACGAAGCATAGGTTGATTTTGTTGGGCCCTTAATATAATCAGATAACAAAAGACCAAGAGGGACACTCCACATGTCAAAAGCAAAGTCAAACACATGTGAGAACAATTAAAGTTATCTCTTCATCTGCTAGGGCAGGTGTCTCTACCTCCAGTCCTCGAGGGCTACCATCCTGTTGGTTTACTGTGTTTCCTGCTCTACCACACCTGAATGGAGTAATTTAAGCCTCTCCTTACCACATTTAATTCTGTACAGGCCTGTTAATTACTCTTTCATTTCAATCAGGTGTATAGGAGCAGTGTGCTACCAAAACTATTTATGGGGGCACCATGTGCTGCTGACCTCTACTTGGGACGTTGTGGATCGGTGGACGGAGTTCATCAAAGACCTCCTCAATCCCTCCGGCAAATCTTCCAGTGAGGATGCTATTGGACGCTCCTATAGAGAAACCTTACATATGTAGCGTGGTTACTACATACTAGGATTCAACACTGTTTACTTCAGTTTGGTTAGATCCTGAGAAAAGATCGGACATTAGCATATGAACTTATATTATGCACTAGGGCTGCAACAACGAATCGATAAATTCGATGAAAATCGATTACTAAAAGCGTTGGCAACGAATTGCGTCATCGATTCGTTGTGTCGCACAACTCTTCCAAAAGCGCCCCCCCTTCCCGCCCACCGTTGCGCGCAGACCAGAGCAAGTCAGATCAGCGCGAGGGAGAGCCGCAGATCAGCGTGAGGGAGAGCCGGTAGCGGCAGATCAGCGCGAGGGAGAGCCGGCAGACTTGCGCTGCTGCGAACCGGTTCCGCATTGTTGCACAGCGATCCAGGCAGCTGCTTCCAGCGCACGGTCCATTCTCAAAGTGGCGCAACCAAAAAACTATAATTAGCACACGATCGTTCATGTCCGCACATGTTCTCTATTTTCTGTCTTATTTGTGCCTGAAGCTCGCTACTGCGGAGGTCATCACCTGTGCTGTGGTGATGTCACCTCACGCAGCATCGAAAACGCGCTCTGCGCTTTTCGGTCAGGAGATCCCTTTGATCTGCTCAAAAGTAACTGATGAGGTGAAAAGGTAAGAATCCAGGCAACAGATTTTCTGGAGAATTAAGAGGAGATGCAGGAAGATGAGAGACAGACAGGACAGGAAAATAGTTCAATAAAAACAAGAAAACAAAACAAAGTGTTGAAAAGTAAAATGTAGGTAGATTTATCTCCACTACACGTTTTTACCAGTAAAAAACAATAAGTTCTACACATGTCATATTTATACATCTGATACAATTCAGATCACCTTCAAAACTCAGTCACACACCCAGGGCCGTTTCAAGACATTTTGGGGGCCAAGGCAAAATGCCCCCCCCCCCCCCCCCCCCCCCAATAACTGGGCTCCCCAGAAGCCTCTGTGTAATTCTTACCCTCTCCAGGAGTATTAGTTTTACACACTGTAAAAGCCCCTCAGACATCACTGACATGTTCTAATATTATCAGATGAAAAACTAAATTATCAGACATGCTGTCTCATCTGCTTCTTTTATAAACTTGCAAAAAGTAACAAAACCATTTGAAAGCCACTATTTGTGGATTCTCTGAAAGTTTCCATGGAGTTTGTGACAACTTATTTTTTCATTGATCCTATCGTCTAATCTCACAGCTGAAACAAGCATCCTTAATAATCTGTGCACAGGAAGCTTACCGATGCTGTAGTAAAACAAAAGGTATAATAATTTATTATTAATAAAACCTTGTTGCAGCACTAAAGCAGAAAAATTAGATTTTGCATTAAATATGCAAAATATTTACATATGAATTGTTTTAGAGCCCTTTAATTGGCAGAATCTGATATTAATTTAGTTCTTACAAAAAATGGGTCCCAACATGGTTTGTGTGGCGTTGCCATAGTGTGACGTCATAGGCACAGATCCCCTGTCCTCTTGTTTGGAAATGGAAATATGGTCACCCTACATTAAACAAACTGTCCACCCGGGCTTTTGCGCTGCACAGAGACGCTTCGCTGCCTACGACTGAACGTCAGTTGAGATTCAGTCTCATGCAGACTGACCAATGAAGAGAGGGCCTCAAGTTAAGACCCTCTCCTCATTGGTCAGTCCACACGAGGTGGGTCAAAGGTTACTCTGGGCGGGTTACGTGTTGTCAGGCATTCAAGTATTGAGTATATTTACTGCATATTACAGTAAAATATTCTGTATGTGACCACATTATGGTGATCCTTGGGTCGTGATGATGGAGCCCTTGAATATTGTTGCCCAGGGTACAACAAAGTGTTAATCTGGCCCTGGTTCGACCGTCACATTCCCGCAGAAACTGGTTGATCACACCGGGGCCAGACTACTAGCATGTGGTTTTACAACCACAATGTCCTCAGAAGCAAAAACGCTTTTAAAAGGGAGGGAGGAGTCCTAACTGTTGCTGCAGGCGTGTTGTGTGAGAGTGCAGTTATATACTGGTTAATATATTTTTGGGTTCAGTTGCTTTCATGTGGCCTAATGAGAGTCTATTTGGGATCATTGGAATGATCAGCAGCATTTCTTGATGTGACTTTATGGCAGTTGCCCAGGGCATCATCGCAAGGAGGATGGCATTCATTTACTTTTGTTTTATTTGGTATTTTTTCAGTCATTTTTGGAAATAGTGATCAATTTTGATTAATTCACAGCCTATGTTTAATTACATTTAAAATAAATGTCAACAGATGAGATCAAACAAAACAGATGAGAATTGCCCTTAAGCTGTTTAACTTGGACCAAGCATTTTAGGTCACAGATAGATGTAGCTTAGGGTCTCTGTCTATACACCTTATAAGACAATTTAGGTGATGGCATGTTGTTTTTCTGCTATTGAACTGTTTTCTAATAATGTTGTGTTAAATAAAGTGAAGGAAGGAGAGAAATAACGTTTCCCTAGCAGTTTTTAAAAATTTCCCCATGTAATCCGATTAATCGATTAATCGTGTCGAGACCCCATCCGATTAATCGATTATCCAAATAATCGTTTGTTGCAGCCCTATTATGCACAAATATCTAGGATATTAATGCAATCGATAGAAGTTCATACACTAACTGTCTTGGTCTATATTTTAATCCAAAGATTAATGTCTAATTTAAAGGGACTTTACGGAGTTTTGAATGTTTATGCTCGCGATTACCACCTCAGGCCAAATGCGTAACGGCAGCTTCAATAGGAGGCTCGTGCATGCTGTACGTGCACACTCCTTAACGAAAATAACAGCTGAGACAGTCCTGTGTGTGTGTGTGTGTGTGTGTGTGTGTGTGTGTGTGTGTGTGTGTGTGTGTCCCGGAGGACAGAGGACAGGAGAATGCGCAGCTAATTAATTAAGTAATGTGGTTCTGTACCTTTCTCTTCAGCACAGCCGACAAAGGTTTAAGATGGGTCAGTCCTCCTGCATGCTCAGACCATTCCCTTCCCTTGCTTGAAAAATTGTTCCAAAATGAAAGTTGAACCCACATCTTTTTTACCTGTGAATTCAATGCCGTTTGGCGAGTCTCAAATACAAATTTGGGCATCTTCCTGTAAAAAAATATATCATTAATGTAAAAAAGAAATTCTAAAACAACTATGTCACATCCAGAATGAAGCCCAGGTCTTCTGCACGAAAGCCCGCAGTCTTATTAGACGAGCTAAACCACCAGTGACGTCTTCTGTATCTGTAACATTTATATTCTTGATGACAGCTGAAACAACGTACAAAGAACGGTTCGGAGGGCTATACCTGAGCGTGAACGCGCATGAAGCAGCCTGCTCGACCCGAGCAGCTCTCTTTTCCTGTGATTTTACAGAAAAACGGCCGATAACAGTAAAAATGCCATGGCTCATTCTACAGGATCAGGGCATTACAGGAGAATGTATTAAGAAATGTATTATTTCTATACATGTTTTGGCTGTCAAACTTCCATAATGCCCCTTTAAGATAATTAAATTTAATAGCAAAAGTTTATTTATTGAATCAGAAGTTAAAGCAATCTTTACTTATTCAATAATCAAACATATACACCATTCTGTGTTTCATTTCAAAGAAGAGTCTGAGTTTTAAAAAGTTAAGAATTTATTACAACTCGACCCAGCGAGGAAAATGTGACCTTTGTCACAAATTAGAGGCCATTCATGACGCTACACACATATAAGCGCGGGTACGCACACAGGTGCTCACCAAGCCCCCACAATGCGGCTCTAAAATTGGGCCCAACCCGGAAGTACCAAAAATTGCAGTTCCACCCTCATCCGCTGGGGGCTGGTGTCAGAAGCGAGCAAATCCTCATTGACTCCCATGTTAAAAATACCAATTTCACAGCAGAAATAAACATGTTTACAGCCTGGTACCAAAACATGTTTTTGTTTAAATTATCTAGTTTACACTCATGACAACTCTGAGGAGGTGAATTTTTTTCTCACTCTTCTGTTTAAGTGTATTAAAAGCCTAAAATTCTGTATAATTAATTAGCATCCGACCCACGTGACCGCCGCCTCAGACCCACGTGACTACAGAGCAAGCTCCGTGGAAAGGCCTCAGTAGAGCCTCGGTCTGGCTTGGAAACTGCTCTGGGATTTTGAATCTCTGTGTTTGTGTATTCTTTTTTTGATATTTTTTGTGCAATTGTTGGACAAAATGACTTGCTGTGGCATTAATTGCACTAATAGAGCGTCCAAGGAGTCTCCACTTCATTTTTTTCGGTAAGTAAAATTATATTTATGTATTTTAGGTCACTGCCGAGCTGAGCTTAGATTTTAACATGTACTGTTTAACCATGAAATTTAAATGTAATAGGGTAAAACCCAGTGCATTTAATATAATGCTGCACTTTAGAAAATGGGTTGAAATATAACATGTTGGTGGAGCTGGGGGCGGCTCACTGCGCCGCACTGCCGCAGCACGGCCGCAGTAATGGAATAGCTCTGATTGACTACAACGGGACCGATTTTGCTGCGGAGTTCGTGCCGGAGCGGAGGTAGTGGAATTTGGGGGTTAATACCAGGGGTTTAAGGCAAACATGTAAACGTAAAGCTTTATTTTTGTTTGCCAAACAATTTAAAACAGATTTTTGCTTTTTCCAAGAGTGTCATTCCACACCTGCTGATACAAATTTTTGGAAATCGCAATGGGGTAATAACATCTGGTTGTCCCATGGCTCTGAGCATTCTGCTGGAGTTGCCACGCTTAAAAATTATTTTTCTGGGGATGTGTTAAACTCTGACTTTGAAACCTTAGGACACTACCTCTGCTCAATAATCAGACACAATAACAGTACTTTCATTGCAGTAAATATATATGGTTACAATAATAAAACAGAAAATTATAAATTACTCAACTCCTTAGAAGAAAGAATTCATTTCTGGCTCTTCAAATATGCAAATTCAGTCCTATTAATTGGTGGAGACTTTAACATCGCTTTAGACAATATGGTTGATAGGTGGCCTCCAGGGCAGCAATCGTCATACAGTGCAAACTTTAAAAAATTTATGGGAAAATTTAATGTTGTGGATATTTGGGGAAAATTTTTTCCAGATGATAGACTCTACTTGGAGCAATAAGACAGGATCCAGGCAATCACGTATTGACTTCTGGCTTGTTTCTGACTGCATTGATAAAGATAATATTACCGTTAATATACATGCCACCCCCCTCACTGATCATAGAGCAATTCACATTAACATCCAAATAATTACACTGGATAATATACCTCATAATTTCTCTTATTGGAAGTTAAATAACTCTTTGCTAAAAGATAAAATGGTTAACATGCAGATTCATAATTTAATTGGTTATTATTGGAATAAAGCTAACAGACAGAAATCCTTTTGTAGAAATTGGGAACTTGTTAAATTTGAAGCATGCAAATTCTTGAGCAGATACAGGAGTCACATTGCTTGATTAAGGAAAGTTGAAGAACAAGACGTAATAAGCAGAATTGCCTCTTATTACCAGAAGTCCCCAGAAGAAATCTCAAAGGAAGATAAATTAAGTTTACTAGAACTTCAAAATAAATTGGACGGTTTATATCGACACAAGGCTGAGGGTGCTTTTGTAAGATCCAGGAAGAGGTGGCTGGAGGAGGGCGAACAAAATTCTGCTTACTTTTTCAGGCTTGAAAAATAGAGATCAAAAATGAACTCGATTCAGCAACTAAATATTAATGGCATTGTCTCTGACAATCCTAGAGAAACTTCACATTTCTGTGCCGAATTCTATACTAAACTATACAAATCAAAATATAATGAGGTTGTCTCAGCAGGATTTCTCAATAATATTAAAAACCTAAAAACGATTAATGTGGAAGATAGAAGTTATTGTGACAGCCCTCTGACTGTGGAAGAAGTCTGTACTTCCATTTCTGCACATGGTTTGACTGCAGAGTTTTATAAATCTTTTTCTAATCTCCTGGCCCCGTTTTTACTGCAGGTTTTTACAGAAAGTATAGAGAATAACACCCTCCCTCCTACTCTTACTCAAGGTCTCATAACACTTATTCCCAAACCAAACAAAGACTTACTTTTTATTGATAATTGGAGACCCATCTCCCTGCTCAATAATGAATATAAGATTATGGCTTTAATACTTGCTAACAGGATTAAAGAGGTCTTGGACAAAATTATTGATGAGACACAATCAGGCTTAATGAGAAATAGACACATTTCTAATAACATTAGACTGGTTTTGGATTTACTTGATTACTCTGATTTAGTATCTGACAATAGCTTCATTCTCTTCCTGGATTTTTATAAGGCTTTTGATACAATTGAACATCAATTTATTTTCCACTCTTTGGAAAAATTTGGCTTTGGTAGGTTTTTCTGTAAAGCTGTCAAAACCTTATACACAAATGGCAATAGTTCTATTAAAATGATTAACGGCTCCACCCCGAGATTTGACCTGAAACATGGTATTCGCCAAGGATGTCCTATTTCACCATATTTATTTTTACTTTGTACACAAATTCTTGCAACTAATATTTCAAACAGTGTTGTACAAGGAATCACCATAGCTGATAAGGAGCTCGTGATTAGCCAGTTAGTCGATGACACCACACTCTTCTTAAAAAATGCAAACCAAATCCCTCTAGCTCTTAGTGTGATTAGTGACTTCTCTGAGGCCTCTGGTTTATGCCTAAATCTAAAAAAGTGTAAGTTGCTAGCAATTAAAGACTGCCCTGCAAATACTATCTGTAATATTTCTGTTAAACAGGAAGTCACATACCTGGGACTGTTTATATCCAAAGATCAAAAATCAAGATGCTCTTTAAACTTCACTCCAATTATACAGAAAACCCTAAAAAAGTTCAACCGGTGGCTGCAGAGGGACTTGTCTTTGAAAGGTAGAGTGTTAATTACTAAAGCTGAAGGGTTATCCCGATTAACATATGCTGCTCTCTCTTTACATCTGGATAAGGAAATTGGTAAACATATTGACCGTATGCTCTTGAATTTTATATGGAAAAACTGTACGCATTATATTAGGAAAACTGTTGTGATGAATAAGTACGAATCAGGTGGGCTTAATGTCCTAGACTTTTCTACTTTAAATAACACTTTCAAAATTAATTGGGCTAAATATTTTCTTAAAAACCCCACCTCTACCTGGACCCTTATACCATATCATATTTTCTCTCGTTTTGGTGGCTTTAATTTTATTTTGAATTGTAATTACAATGTTGAGAAACTCCCTATAAAACTTTCATCCTTCCATAAGCAAGTCCTCTTAGCGTAGACCCTCATTTATAAACACAACTTCTCACCTCACAAATATCTTATCTGGAACAACAGAGCTATTTTATTTAAAAATAAATCACTTTTCCTGGAAACTTGGGTCTAGAATGGGATCCTACTGGTGGCTCAGCTGGTTAATAAAGAGGGACAACTACTTACTTACAACAACTTTATTGCCCCATATAATTTCCTAATCAGTGTTCAGGAATTCTCAATGGTGCTTGGTGCCATACCCTCAGGGACTTTAATGTTATATAAAAACACTGACAGCTCAATATCTACCTCTGTCACTCTCCCTGATCCAGTTGAGTCACCAATAGGAAAAATCTGCTTTCCTCTAGAACTTGGTAACAGCAATAAGAGAATACGTAGTTTATTCCAGAAAGATATCGTCTCTCTCCCGTATATAATATCTTATTGGAACCGATATGTTCCAGATATCAAGTGGAAGACAGTCTGGATGATCCCCCAGAAATATTTGATTGTAAATAAGGTGAAAGAAGTCTCATTTAAACTTCTACATAAATGGTATCCAGCCAGTCATTACATGGTCAAATTTAAAAGGGACATAAATACTAATTGTACTTTCTGTGGGGATCATCCAGAAGCTGTGACACATCTTTTTTGGTGCTGTTCTTTTACACAAAGATTCTGGAAGGAATTTAGCAGGTTTGTTACTGTCCATATTTTAAGGGAGTGTTCTTTACGATGGGAAAATGTTTTATTCTGTTTCTTTAAGTTCCCCATGAAGAATGATAAATGTTTTTTTTATGATAAATCTGTTAATACTTTTAGCTAACTTCTTTATTCATAAATGTAAGTTTACCAACAAAACACCATATTTCTGTCATTTTTTAAGGATGTGGAATTGTACATAAAATCAATATTAGAATCCACCAACAAAAAGGCTCTCAAAACAATATATATGTGAATTTTTGCGTGTATTCTTATAATTGTTACTTTTTTCTTTTACCCCTGGCTTTGTGTGTTCATATTCTGTTGTTTTGTATACTTCATTCGTTTCTATGTTGTATACTCATTGTTTGTTAAATAAAGTAAAAAAAAAAAAAAAAAAAACGGGCAGATCCTGTACCGACACCGGAAAATTTCAATCACAAGTAAATGGCTGCAGCACTGTTGCCTCGCAGCGGCCTTTCTGCGTGGGGTTGCGTGTTCTCCCCGTGCATGCGTGGCTTTCCTCCGGGTACTAGGTTATTAATTGTGAGTCACTTTGGATAAAAGCGTCTGCCAAATGAATAAACACAAACATAAATAAATAAACATAAACTACGTTACCTGCGCAGCATCTACTAGCGGCACCAAAGCGACGTTAATACAGCGCCATCTAGCGGCAGGGAGGGTTATCACAACAGCAACGCCAACCGAAGATGAATCCTCTTTTCAGCCCAGCGCTTCACCAGCAAAGACACCAGTTTGTCATCAATTTTGTCAAGATGAAGAAACCAAAAATGGTACTTAACGTTTTTTTTAACTATAACTATATTTAATTCAAAAGTTTTAACTTCGAAATCAACAAGATGTTAGCGGCTAATAAGCTAGCCACCGTTAGTAGTTTCTGCTAGCTAAGTTCGCTTTGTGGTTTTGAGGTAAACCAGTCGGTTTCTCACGCGGTTTGTGGTTTTTTGTTCGGCGTTACTTCAAAATAAACTCGGGAGTTGATTTCCAGGTGGCCGACTTGGGCTGCAACGATTGCAAACTCCTGAAGCAGCTGAAGTTTCATCGTGAGATCGAGCTGCTGGTTGGAGTGGACATCAACGGTGACGTAATCAAGAAAAAGATGTACGTGAGGGGCACTGCTGATGCTTTGGATGACAGATTAAAATAATAAAATAATCGCACCGCATTGAATCGTTTAGTTTGATCGACAACTTTCTAGATTATAGTTACACTAATAATTCCCTTTTTAGTGAAGAGTCTGCAGAATGCTTCAAAAAGCCACATTTTATAATGTTTACAGTAAACGTGAGCAATAATCCTTGAGGCTGTTAGAAGATCCTTTTGGACATTGGCTGCTATTTCCATCAATCACTTCCCATTTAGCCCCATATAATCATTGCTTTTGTGTGATTGAAGACATTTCTTTTGCTTGTCCTGAAACTATATCCCTTCAGGCGTGGATTAGCTCCTTTATCGGCCAACTATCTACAGCCTACTTGTGATCAGCTGTGCGTTGAGCTTTACCAAGGCTCAGTGATGCAGAGGGATGCTCGACTGAGAGGATTTCACCTGGTTACCTGCATTGAGCTGTAAGAGGCTGTTTAATCATTGGTCCACAGTGTCCGTGTGTCCATTCTTCTTGTTACATATGTTTTTCTTTTTTGCAGCATAGAACATCTGACTCTTACGGACTTAGATCACTTCACGGCAGTGGTTTTTGGATACATGACTCCATTGAGTGTTATCATCAGCACCCCAAACTCTGAATACAACGCCCTTCTGCCTGGACTGTCGGGCTTCAGGCACAGAGACCACAAGTTTGAGTGGAACAGAGCAGAGTTCAGATCCTGGTACAGTACAAAGTTCCACTGGTTTATGAAAACCCCAACAAAACCAGCTGAGTGTAGATGTGGTACATGCTGTTACATAAGGCTGTTATCAAACCCCTCAGGGCCCTGAAAGTGTGTTTGAAGTACAGCTATAAGGTGGAGTTCACTGGTGTTGGAGAAGCGCCACTGGGGATGCAGGACAGCGTGGGTTTCTGCTCCCAGATCGGTGTCTTCTACCGACTGGAAGGCTGCACCGGCTGTAATGTGTTGCCCTGCAGTGATGAAGAGGATGTTTCTCCTTACACTTTGGTGAGTCATTTCTACTGTTTCTAAACGTCTTTAAAAACAAATAGAAGTGCTTTTGTTTAAAGAGCAAGTCATCCCCAAATCAACTTTTTTTCTGATAAACTATATAAATGCTTGTCTAATCATGCTGCAGACACGTGTAGTCAATAGTTTAGCACTTTAGTGCATTTTAGTTAAAATTTAAATATTCTGCCTAAAACTGTCAAGTGTTGTGCTGTTGTCAGGTAAAAACTCTGCACTGCATTTGAATTTAAATCTGCCATCGCTATTGGCTAAGAGGTACCCTAGAACTTTAGCTGGTACCATATGATGTCACAATGCCGTTGTGAGCCTGTGTGTGTGTGTGTGAGACCCCTTCTTTCCACCGGAGCCGTCAGCAGCACGTTACTGCAGCAGCACGTCATAGCTGCTGATAGGAACCGCTGTGGTCAACAGAACCTTTTCCACCTGAGCCGTCAGCAGCGCGAGTCAGCCGCGTCTCAGGAGCAGCATGTCGCGGCCCTTACGCGCCGGTTCTATTTTCTACGCGCGACGCCTCTGAAACGGGTCAAGTTCGACATTTTTGGGGAAGGAAAGACAGGAAATCGGACGCGGAAATGGAGAGAAGCTCCCGAGATTTTCATAAAAAATAAACGTACTGCCTTCCGTTTGCTTTACTTTTAAAAAAGTTACTAAATGTGCGGCCCCGTGAGAAGTTATCACCTAGCTAGCGGTCACCTTTGTTTTTCAGGTCCGTATTGGCGATTATAAAATGGACAGAACATAAAACACAAACATTTTGGAGCCATGTTGTAGTTTTCTCCTGCTTGTTGTTGTGTTTACTGACGAAGGCACTCGTGTGACTTTGTGCTCTGTCAGTGACAGCTGCTCCCCTTCTGCTTCGCGTCTCGTGGGAAGGGCCAAGCAGCAGCTTACGCAAGCAAGACGTGCTGCTGCAGTAACGTGCTGCTGACGGCTCCGGTGGAAAGAAGGGGTTAGCGGCTCCGCCCTCTCGGTCTGCTAGGCAACAGCATTTGTTGCATTTTTTAAACAGGAAGTTGGAGTGGAGTAATACTCTGGTAGGGGGTGACTTGCTCTTTAAACATTCTAGGCTCACGTGTGTGTGTGTGTGTGTGTGTTTCAGCTGTATTCTGTAAAGTACCCCAGCCTGCGTGACAACAACACTTTGCGCCGAGTCCTGGTGAGTGAGGTGTTATACTGGGCAGAACAACTGAAGAACAGGTGGATGGAGGAGAAGAGCAGTGACAGAAACTATAACTCTACCTTTAGTCTGACTGAGGAAAGGGCGGAGGGATTCAACCCAACACATGCGGCCATAGAGGGATGGCTGGCAGGTAGATCGGTTTGTATAATTGACTTGTGAGGCATGTCTGAATTGTTTTATTTGTGTAACCATCAGCATGTGCAGAAGGCATGGATGGTCCAGTGGGCTGTTGTGGGACAGGTGACGTGGATAAGTGTGAAGAAATGCTCTGGAGAAACGGCTCAAAACTGGAGTCTGGTACAGGAAGTGGGTGCGTTTGTCTTGCTTTTTTCCTGGAATGCCAGGAGAATGGGAAGCATCGTTTTATTATCCTCTGATATTTAAACACAACTGAGACATCTTTCACAACTATATTTGACCCTTGTGTTTAGATATATTTCCATCCCTCTGGCTGTGCTGTGGTCCTGCTGCCCTAAAGTCAGTGAGCTGGGCGGAAGCCTGAGGAATCTTAGACATCTGCTGATGGATGAGCCTCACGTGAACATGAGTCAGGATGGTGCTGCGGTACTCGTAAAATATCAAGAACAAGGTGCTCATTTCTAATTCTGATTTAAATCACACGTGTCAGACAGAAGGCTCACGGAGCATTTTTATGTGGCCCACGAGATAAAATATCAAAAATATATTAAAACTGACCTGCTGGCCGATTTTACGGCAAAGACTACAACTCCCATGATGCTTTGCGGCGTTAGCGCAGAGCTGAAGGGCCCCCTCCTTTGTGTTGTTTCCAGCGTCTGCTGCCGGTGTCTGCAGCTTCGCTCTCGGAAAAACTAAGCACTCCTCTCACAAAATAAGTTTGTTTCCAAATGAAAAGGTTCAAAACTGCATAATGTTTATAAAGAAAATGTGCAAATTTGCCGTCACTTTTTCAAAATATATTAAGTTTCGCCCGCTACTTCGTCCCAGATTTTCATTTCGGCCCAGTGTGAATTTGAGTTTGACACTCCTGATTTAAATGATTAAATTTCATATTGTGTGAAAGTGAGAAACACGAGGACAAGTGAAGAGACCTTCTGAACACCAACGACAGTTAGTTCTTATGTGTGTCATTCATAATCCTGACTTTAATCTGTTTTCTTATAGGAAGCTTTTAACTAATCCGCATAATTAACTCAACTCAGAATGCTTTTGTTAATGTCCTCTTATTGTGAGTTGGTGCTATACTAATAAAATAAATTAATTAGGAAGAGGATTTATAATTAGACTAATTAAAAATAAGACACTTGAGTTGTTCTAGTGTGTTCGTATGAGACATTTCTCTGCAGGAACACTAAACCAATCATCGTGGCCTTTAGACTGTTAGTTTATGCCAGTAAGAGGAACATGGGTATTTTTTTATTTTATATTGAGCAACAAATTGTCTTCCCCCCCAATTCCAATTAACAAATGCACTGCATCATTTTACCTCAACTTCCCTTTTAATAGTTGCTTTATGAAAATATGTTTAGCTAAATTATAACGGTTTATTTGTAGAGTTTGCTTCGTATTAAATCCACATAAATACAAATGTTATTTCCCCAGTAAGTGATTTGATTCTTCCTTAAACCCTAAATTATGTGATTTTTATTCTTTGGGGATTCATTGAAGCATTTTAATGCAATTAAATCATTACTTATTGGTCTTAACACAGAACGTTGCTGTTTATGTCGGGGGTTATTCTCTGGCACTGAAGCATTTGGCTATGTGGTCCCAACAGAAACATCAACAGATCCATTAGTTCTTTTTGCAGGGTATCTGCAGGTTTCAGGGAGCCAAATTTAAGACTTTTAAAGACTTTTTTAAGGCCACTTTGACCAAATTTAAGCTATTATTTTCCAATTTAATTTAAGCTATAATTTCCAGTTATTGCCTGGAACTGGTGCTAACCACGTTGCGAACGTGGGATTAGCCATCCAGTTACCATTAAACTTGCACTTCCCCATGGCACAAGCTCCCACTAGCTTAACCAGCTAATGTGCTCATCTAAAAATAGCCCCCTTTCACAACCAGCTGAATGTGTACGGTTCCGCTTACGCCAATATCATACACAAAAAATGCTGAACATCAACTAGAAATTCACAAAAATTTTATAGAAATAAAAGAATCTTGTTTATTGGTTCTTTGGTAATTTAAGACCTTTGGAAACTCTATTTAAGGATTATTTGTCATTTTTAAGGCCTTAAATTTGGAAAAGCAAATTTAAGACTTTTTAAGGACCCGCGGATACCGTGTTTGACTCGCTCTTCGTTGTGTTTTCAGATGAAGAGGACGACGATGCTTACCTGGAGGACGGCGAGTATTCAGAGGCCAGCTGGTGCTCTCACGGTGTTGAGCCAGAGGAAGACTGGGAGACAGTTTGATAAACAGGATGTGGTTTTTTCAGTTCATAGATAAAATATTGGAATCTACCCACGGATTTATGTGTAAGAAACTTTTCTGTAGGACAGCAGTACTTCCTGTTCAGCCTGTGAACTTCAAATTAAGAGTCATTTTGTTTTGGATCATTTCTAAAGATAAACCTGTAAAAGGAACCGATTTGGTCTTTAAAATAAGGTACTGAGTAAAGGTGGAATAAAAATAAACCTTTAAATGTGCAAACATGTGTTGTCATTTTGTTTAGAATAATAAAAAAAGAGAATTAAGGTTTTGAAACTGTTTTATTCAACTGTGCCAAGTTGATATTTTAGGCAACGATACAGTTAATAAGGAAAACAAATGTTGGTCAAAGGAGCACGTCTGTAACAGAGAACACTGGAGCGTGTCGGAACATCACAGAACATCATTTACAGTTTTTATAAAGACAACAGCTTCACAGAAGAGAAAAGCAACCATGTTTGGAACATGTTCGGTACCAAGATGAGCACACCTGTGTCACAGGTAAAACAAAAGGCCCCAAAAATAAACACCTCTTTGACTGCGCGTTTCGTAGCCAGAATTTATACACTCACTACTGAATAGTTCATCACTTTTTTCCAGACGGGAGTATTTAACAACTATCACATAATCAACAAAAGACCACACAAAGACGAGGGGTTTTAAATATGGGCTTTGAAAGTGGAACTCCGACGTTACTTTATACCACAACACCTGAACTACAGAAAAACCTGGCAAACAAAGTCGTTTCTTCAGTGAGTTAAAATTATTAAAAAAAATGGCACAACATAAAATTCTGGGAGGAAAAAAATCTTTAAAAGTGGTAAAAGTTCCAAATGGACACCACGACCATGCATTAATTACAAACGTAACACGGACGATGTTTAAACGTAGAAACACTGATTTGTGTAGATATGGCTGCAATATTACCTAGCTGAGGTGTTGGACATCTACCGAGGCTCCTGACGGAAGAAAACATCACTGATGCTGGACAGTCGCTCTTTAAGCTTTGTTCTGATGGTAAAACAACTAGAAGATGAACTTTAAACTCCAAAGAGGCTAGAAATGCAGATGGTCTTGGTGCACGACCCACAGCAATGCTGATGAGCATTCCACTGAGCCCCTAAAGCAGGGGTAGGCAACCCTGGTCCTGGGGAGCTGCTATCCAGCACGTTTTAGAGGTTTCCCTGCTTCAACAGTTGATTCACCTGTTCAGCAGCACATCAGGCTCTGCACCTGCTGAATCAGGAGCGTTCTCGCAGGGAAACGTCTAAAACAAGCTGGAAAGCGGCTCTCCAGGACTAGGGTTCCTTACCCCTGCCCTACAGGAACACTGGTTTAAAAAGGGTTCTCATGCAGACAAGAAACTATCTGGCGCATATGGACAACCATACCGAGGATGAGGCATCATCTGACGCGTACGAGAAATCCAACCTTTTCCCTCCTCTTCCCCTTAATGGGCTCCGTCGTATTTAATTCTTGACGGGGATCATTTCATTGTTTGCATTCTAGTCTTAACGCAACAAACTGAAGACGTGCATCAATTCAAAAGAGGACATTATTTGTAGAGTGATGAAAAGTTCCCCATCAACAAGCCAGGCTGGAATGATGCTGCTCAAAGGCGCCACGTCCGTGCACGAAAAACCGTAAAACAAGCAGGAATATCCGGATTCTGGCTTGGTTTCAGCGTTTCACCAGTCTCGTTTTAGGGTCAAACAAATATTACGTAAAGCGACATTTGCTCGTGGGAAAAGAAATGTGTGTGGTTAACAAGAACAGGCTCCTGATGACATTTACAGTTCTACGACATGCTTTCCTATTTTCTCGTTGCCGTGAATTCATTTAACGTCATCTCTTCATTCATCAGAAAACGAGAGCTACGGTAAATAAACACAGTGGTGTTATTCGGGTGCACTCGCAGTCCACGTTCACACATTAAATGGCTTTAGTCGAGTGCTTTGTATTAAAACATTCTCACCTTGAAAACACAAACAGCCGTCCGTGCCGACGACCGCGTCGGCCGCCCTAAACAGCCAGACACTAAAGGAATGTGTTGAAAACCCTTTTTTCAGTGTGGATTCTAGTTCGTTTAGCTAACGCCTCCTCCAGTCATCAGCAGAAAAAAGCAGCTCCTGTTAAACGCTCAGACGCTGGATGACGATTAGGACTTCCCGCACCCAGACGGATCAAATGGTTTCAGCTCAGGAAGCCAAAAAAAAAAGCATTTTTGAGTTATCTCATTTCTAAATTTGTCTAATTTCCCAATCTACCGCTGCACGTGTCTGTATGGAGATTGCATCGGATTACTCCCGCCTAAAATGATCACAGGAGGGCCCTGCTGGCGCTACAGAGCGATCCGGCGTGTGATGTAGGAACGGAGAAGGAATTAGGAACACGTTTGTCATTTCAGTCCATTAACGAGAGGCTTCAGGGCTAACGCTTAATCACCACCTGCTCGTACGCTCCAGCACCAACCCTGAGAGAGGACACCAGAAGGTTCAATTAATAATCACAGAATAAAGTCAGGTGCAGTAGAATATAGCCTGAAGATGTCGGGATTTTAGCACGTTTCTGTTGTACTATAGGAAGTCTTGAAGGTGAACTAGAAGTCACCGTAGCTGTTCTTGTTACCTGGTGGGAAGATGGTGGCTTCCAAAGGCCGTACTTCCTCCTGGCCCAACAAACAGACGCAAGCCTTCCTCTGCAGCAGACACAGTTGTGGTCAAACCCAGCCGCTAACACAGCCTGCTGTATAATTCTCATCATGAGGAGCAGCCGGTTGCTAGGCAATCTAAAAATAATCGTGTTTTGACAGTAGCTCTTTTTTCTAAGCTTTGAGCTGAATGAGACCTTCAAATGCAACACAATGCTCTCCTCAGTGTTCACACCGACTCGTGTGAATCCGGCACTTTAGAACAGGACTGCAGTTTTCCTTCGTTCGACATTTTACCACCAAACCGACCACTAACCTTCGGCGCTGGAATCCAGCAGGCTGGGCGTGAAGTCTTGACTCTGTAAGATCTTTTCCACGACATCATCTGCGTCCACCCTCGTGTCGTCCATCCTCTTTAGCTGAGACTCCATGGAGTCCTGTTTGACCGGATGTCTTAAGGAGAGGAAAACACAAGGAGTTATTTCACCTTTCACTTACACTAAAACAAAGTCTTCTGGTGTTCTTGTGCTGATCACAGTCAGAAAGAAATGGTGCTGGTGGTGTACGCACTCCTGCCTGATGGGGTGATGCTCTGGGGAATTCCTCAGTGGCTTGTCTTTGTGACTCCCTGGAGCTGAAGATGGCCAACTTCTGGTCAGGCAGAGGTCCTACCTCAATTACGGGAGCTTAAGTGTCTCAGGGTCTTGTTTACAAATGTGGAAAGGAGGGAGCGGGGGGTCGACAAGCGGACTGATGCAGCTTTTGCAGCGACACGCACGCTGAACCGGTCCACTGTGGCGAAGATGAAGCCAAGCAGGAAAGCAAAGCTCTCGATTTACAGATCGATCCTTGTTCAAGTCCTCAGTTATGGTCACTAGCTGTAAGTAATCATCTAAAGAACAAGGCCACGGATACAAGAGACTGAAATGATTTTCCTCCATGGAGTGGCCAGGACGGGCCTTACCCCGGCTTTCCACAGGAGCCGTCAGCAGCACGTTACTGCAGCAGCACGTCATAGCTGCTGATAGGAACCGCTGTGGTCAACAGAACCTTTTCCACTGGAGCCGTCAGCAGCGCGAGTCGGCCGCGTCTCAGGAGCAGCATGTCGCGGCCTTTACGCGCCGGTTCTATTTTCTACGTGCGACGCCTCTGAAACGGGTCAAGTTCGACATTTTTGGGGAAGGAAAGACAGGAAATCGGACGCGGAAATGGAGAGAAGCTCACGAGATTTTCAGAATAAAGAACGTACTGCCTTCCGGTTGCTTTACTTTAAAAAAGGTTACTAACTGTGCGGCCCCGTGAGAAGTTATCACCTAGCTAGCGGTCTCCTTTGTTTTTCAGGTCCGTATTGGCGATTATAAAACGGACAGAACATAAAACACAAACCATGTTGTAATTTTCTCCTGCTTGTTGTTGTGTTTACTGACGAAGTCACTCGTGTGACTTTGTGCTCTGTCGGTGACAGCTGCTCCCCTGCTGCTTCGCGTCTCGTGGGAAGGGCCAAGCAGCAGCTTACGCGAGCAAGACGTGCTGCTGCAGTAACGTGCTGCTGACGGCTCCTGTGGAAACCCGGGGTTAGAGGTAGAATGAGGAGCTTGGAACTCAGGAGAGACTTAAAGTAGTTTTCTCGAGAGTAACTCGGACTAGTGCAGCTCGGCATGATCACATTTTCCAAGAACGTGGTTTGGTATTTTCCCAGCTTCTAGTCCCTGCCCCGTTGAGTTTCCTGGAGATGCTGACCCCTTCTTTCCACAGGAGCCGTCAGCAGCACATTACTGCAGCAGCACGTCTTGCTCGCGTAAGCTGCTGCTTGGCCCTTCCCACGAGACGCGAAGCAGCAGGGGAGCAGCTGTCACCGACCGAGCACGAAGTCACACGAGTGACTTCGTCAGTAAACACAACAAGCAGGAGTAAACTACAACATGGCTCCAAAAGGTTTGTGTTTTATGTTCTGTCCGTTTTATAATCGCCAATACGGACCTGAAAAACAAAGGAGACCGCTAGCTAGGTGATAACTTCTCACGGGTTAGGGTTAGTAACTGTTTTTTTAAGTAAAGCAACCGGAAGGCAGTACGTTTCTTTATTCTGAAAATCTCGGAAAGCTTCACTCCATTTCCGCGTCCGATTTCCTGTCTTTCCTTCCCCAAAAATGTCGAACTTGACCCGTTTCAGAGGCGTCGCGCGTAGAAAATAGAACCGGCGCGTAAAGGCCGCGACATGCTGCTCCTGAGACGCGGCCGACTCGCACTGCTGACGGCTCCTATGGAAAAGGTTCTGTTGACCACAGCGGTTCCTATCAGCAGGTATGACGTGCTGCTGACAGCTCCGGTGGAAAGAAGGGATGAGTCAGGCCAGCGACCATGACCACTGATTGGCTAGGGGGCGGAGCCGCTGGTTGCTCCGGAGTTTTCTGCCTGCAGCTTCACTGCCTGCGCCATTTCCTTGTTCAGAGTCTGCCAAAAAGGCACACCCGCTTTCCATCCCAGAGCTGGCAGGGAAACACGCCTACACTCACACGAGCCAAACCAATCTGTACAGAGCTGCTCCTCTAGGGGGTGTTTCAGGCAGGTCCTGTTGGCAGGAGACTCCCAGGTCAATCCAGGACTTGCTGGAGGGTTTTTATCTTCTGGTTGGCCTTGTGATCCTACAGGTGGAGCTGGTGGAGGCTGCTGGGGAGAGGACGGTTTGGGCCTCTCTGCTAACAGATGAATCCAAGTTGGCGTCACACCAGCTTGTGTCTCCCTCACAATACAGATGAGAACTCTAAAAGACGTCCGACCATCATCATAGAACAGACACACAGCAGTAAATGACTAAATCCCACATCAGATTCATTTGTCTTCACAATGCTTTTCTTCTTCTCACACTGCGTGCCAGTAAACGCAAACCAAAATCTATTTATATACATCCAGTCCTTTGGTTTGCCTCCCTTAGCAGCAGATTCATGTCGGGCGCTTCTGAAACGCTTGAATGCACCAACAGCAGGGCGCACTCGGCTCGGTGGTGGTGTTAGTTGTGAACAGTGTAAAACGATGAATACTTTATTCTCACTGGCTCGACTAAAGCCTCCATCTTTGGCCAGATGAGTTCAGAGCAGACTTTTAGATTGTTGGTCAGACAGAACCTTTAACCGGGTTTGAGCCGACAAAAGAGGACGTGTGTTGTTGTCAGCAGCCTGCGGTCCTTGTTCAGTTACAAACAGTTGCGTAGGCCTCACAAGAATCCTGCTCATTGTGTCACTCTGCAAACACAAACTTTATTTTCATGTGAATTTTGGGTGTGACCTGCATAGTTCGATCTGAAGTATGCACTGGTAATAAAAGACAAAACCGCTGAAAGTGCACGCACAATATTAGCAACATTTAAATTTCTTGAATATCGTGGTTTCCATAAATGACTTCCTCAGTGCTTTTAGTTGCTTTTTGCACGCACAGCTGATCAGAACCACAGCTTAGACGTGAAGCTTCAGCTACTTCCTGTCCCACTTTCTTGCTGAGCCTCATCACTGAGGTTTCACAGCCACCAGTGGTGCAGCTTTATTCACAGGTGAATATAAAAAAATGGCACATATGATCTGATTTTGAGTACTAGAAAACATCAAACTAACTCAAATGAATAAAATGAAATAATTATTTAAGTAAACAGTGTAAAATATGACCAACTGTGTCATTATTGGATGCTTTTTAGGTCCCGTTCCAACTCATGGATAATAAAGTTTTTTGTGACAGGCGGATTGGTTCGGCGTCTGCAGTGATGCGGACGCTGAGCCGATCTGTCGTGGGGAAGAGGGAGCTGAGCCAGAAAGCCAGGCTCTCGATTTACCGGTCGATCTACGTCCCAATCCTCACCTATGGTCATGAGCTTTGGGTAATGACCGAAAGAATGAGATCGCGGATACAAGCGGCCGAAATGAGTTTCCTCCGTAGGGTGGCCGGGTTCAGCCTTAGAGATAGGGTGAGGAGCTCGGACATTCGGGAGGGACTCGGAGTAGAACTGCTGCTCCTCCGGATCGAAAGGAGCCAGTTGAGGTGGTTTGGGCATCTGGTCAGGATGCCTCCTGGACGCCTCCCCGGGGAGGTGTTTCGGGCATGTCCTGCCGGCAGAAGGCCCCCGGGTCGACCCAGGACACGTTGGAGAGGTTACATCTCCAATCTGGTCCGGGAACGCCTTGGGGTCCCGCCGGAGGAGCTGGTGGAGGTGGCCGGGGAGAGGACGGCCTGGAGCTCCCTAATTGGGATGCTGCCCCCGCGACCCGGACCCGGCTAAGCGGAGGAAGACGAAGACGAAGACTAAGTGACTCAATAAAACCAAATGCATGGTTCAGCTGCACTGCCTCCCAGGCTTTAGGGCTGCTTCCTGGAACATCTGGCCTCAGAACATTTTTCAGTTTGCTGTAAATTTTGCTCGGTTTACTGACAAAACCACCAAAAGACTCACCTGTTCAGTCGCTCGGATGACGACGCACTCCGCACTGGTGTGCCGGCTTGGTTGCTAGTGGTAGCTGTGGGAACTGGTTCTTCGGGGAGAGCTGGACGCGGTCTGGACTCCCGGTCCTCGCTGGGCTCTGGAATGCTTCCGATGCCTGTGGAGGCGCTGCCCACCGAGTGGTTCCTCCGGTGGCTGAACTCTGACATGCTGGAGGAGCGGGAGTGACTTGTGCTGTAGCCTGTGACAATCAACAAGGTGCTAAGTTTATGCTAACCACTATCTTACATACATACGAACCCTCGATATTATTATTATTATTAATAAAATAAAAACAGCTTTTTACAGCATTTAAATGGTTGAAAAAGATTATTATAGGGATCAAACTAGGGGTGGGCGGTATAAACGGTATACGGTAGAAATTACCGGTATATTAATTTGGCCAACGGTAGAGATTTTGACTATATCGGCCTATCGCGGTAGCGCATGTTGATGACGTCATCAAGCGGCGTCTGTTGAGGCTGAAAGCATGGAGCTTGTGGTGGAGGAGGTTCTCGTAAAGAAGACCGGTGCAACGTCGGTCATTTGGACTTGGTTTGGCTTTAAGGAGTCGGATGTGGAGCAGAACAATATAATCTACAAAGTATGCCGGAAGAAAGTATTAGCGAATAGAGGGAATACATCTCATTTGTTTTACCACCTCAAAACGAAGCACGTTGTGGAATACGAAGAAAGCCAAAAACTGCATCCTCAACAAACGCCCAGTCAGTCGAGTGGTAAGAAAAAAGGTGGTCTTACACACCAGCAGACGGACATTTTACAAGCATTTGCTAAAGGCACTCAGTATGAGAGAAATAATCAAGAAAAGCGGAAAGAGAAAAGCGGCTTTCGGGACATGATAAGACACTCGATCCACGTTACGAGGTCTTCACTTTATTTTAAAAACTTTTGTGTTTTGTTAACTTTTACTTGTATTTTTATTTAAAATATCCAAATCTTTATTTTTTTATTAAAGAATGGTGTGCTCCATTTTTTGGAAAAAGATCTGTTACACATCTTAAATATTACTCGTAAAGCTTTTTGATTTTTGCACAATAAGTTTTCTTAAAATGGCATTTTAGTGTGTTTATTCTGCTGCTGCAGTGTATCTGGTATGTGAGTATGTTTAGAAACAGTCGTTTTTGACATATATACAAAAGAAAGTCATATTGCAATATATACTGTTACCGCACATTTTTCAAATTATATCGCAATATAGATTTTAGGCTACATCGCCCACCCATAGCTCAAACGCAAACCAGGCATGCATGTAGTATAGATTATCGTTTTCATGCAGCAGCATGGCTATTTTGTTGCAAAAATGTAAATGAAATGTTGAATCTATTTCAGTTTATTTTTATAGCGCCAAATCACGGCAGTAGTCGTCTCAAGGTAATTTACAAAGTAAACATTCCAACTGATTTCAGTTCATTAAGCCAATTAGTTAAAAGTTTCCTATATAAACAATCTCAGCAGATTACAACAAATCACTGACTTGTGTCAGTGACTTTCCAGCAATCCTCTTACTAAGCAAGCATGTAGCAGCAGTGGAGAGGAAAACTCCCCTTTAACAGGAAGAACCCTCCAACAGATGCTGCGTCAGTATGAGCAGCCATTTGTCACGACTCGCTGGGGGTTGGCGAGGAACGAGCAACAAATCTGCAACACGTGAAAACCACTGATGTAGCAGCTCTGCAAAGAAAAAAACCTGGTGCTGCGTTCGTGTCTGCAGGAGGCCTTTTCAAGCATCACTAGGAGAAAATTGACCAGAACCTAACGTGTTGTTTGAATAAATGGAATAAAAAGTGACCCGTGGCAGGAAAACCATGTTTCAGCCTTTCACGAACAAACCATTAGAGCCGATCTGTGTGCAGATCCACTTCCTCTAATCATCTATTAGTGTCATCTTATCTGCTGCTGATGGAAACTCGAGCTTTGGGCTGTGAGGGTGGAGTATTTTATTACTTCTATTCTCCTCGGTCATGAGGTTTGTTTTCTCAGTTTGACCTTAAGCATTTTTCTTCTATGAATGTTACTGATGAGAATAAAGGATTTATGTAAGTTGAATATGACCATTCCTCTGTTTGCATCATTACACAGACGATAATGGAGGATAATAACTTTTAGGATGTGGGATGGCTCTACCTGAGAGTTTGGACTGCTGGCTGGCGTAGCTGGATGTCCGGGAGTGGCCGCAGCCTCCTGGCTCATCTGACACAACGGGACACTTCCCCTCTCGACACTCTCCTGAAGCGCAAAGACGAGTGAAAGACAAATATATTATAATAAACCACAAGTTTGTGCATTTATTGAAAAAACTGAGGTCGGTTGTGAAGGATAAGCAGACAACACACTGAGCTGCAGATACGTGGCAAGACGGGACTTCTGTTAACCCTCTGGAGGCGGGCGTTGCAGATTTGCAACGTTAAAGCCTATCTACCTGGTTACTCCACATACGTATTCATGAGCAATTTTTAACTCAGAAGAACCCCCGAAGGACTTAGTTGTTCGTCCTTTTATCAAAACTTACTTTGAGCCTGAGAGGGTGAAAAGTTGAATTGGAGATGTTTTTCTGGCCATTCAGGGAGCAGCAGAGCGCCACTAATAATCTGGGAAAACCTCACAAACAACAGGGCCGTTTCTCAATACCCATGGACGCTAGCGAGTTCTCGTGTACTTGTCAAGTATGTTCTCGGCAAGAACAGCAGAACGTCCGTCCTACTGAGTACAAGAGGACGGCATTTGGAACAGAACTGTACTCTGTTGCATCACGGGAACAAGCGCTGCTTTATCCTACGGCTTGAAATAAAAATGAAAGTCTAGCTTGTCCCTTAAATAACAAAATAACTATTTTTACATTGGATTTGGATATTTGGTCCACTTTTATGAAAATTGATAAAATGAAGAAAACTATTTTCTTTTTCATCAAAACAGAATTATTTAAGTCACTGCTGCTTTTATTTTGATAGTGGGTTAGCATTTAGCATTTTGACGTATCGTGAAGAGCCAGGGAAAAAAAACAAGCATCAAATTTTACAGGTACACACAATTAAATACGACATCACTCATATTTATTTATTTAGACTAAATTATTTGCATTTTTATATAGAAACACTACAGTCGTGAGCTCTTTCCTCTGCCATGTTCCGTTTGGGGTATAACGGTTTGTGAGGTAATGCATTATGGGATACCTTGTTGGTCAAAGTCCACAGATTGATGCGTTGATGCATCCTCGTAATTGCCCTGTTATGTACTTTGGAATGGACCAGTACTTGGGCCATTGTTGATGACGTTACACAGGGACGCGAGTACACAAGTTCAGATGAGTACACATATTGAGAAATGGCCCAACTTCCCCAAGCACACACAGACTGCCAATGCAACAGACTGATAACTCTACCAGTTGACAGAAAACAAGCTGCGTTCACTGAAACAGGTCCGTCACCTAAAAAATTCCCAATAAGAACAGAACCAGACTTTAAACAGAACGTATAAATCAAACAGTTTAATCAAATTTGCGAACAGAGCGTAACATTCCCTCCATGACACTAGGCAGCCCAGCTCTGGCTTCACTTCCTGTTCAGCTGCTCCAAGCCAAAAACACGTAATACGTGCACATAGAGAGGTGTGCGGGAGGGGGTGGGGGGGTGGGTGGGAGGGGGGGGGGGTTCTGTTAAATTGAAATTCAAAAATACTTTATTAATCCCAGAGGGAAATTAGAGTTTCAGTACACACAATTCAGAGATCAGGCATACATGGGCAAAGCCACATGATAAGAATTGGTGACTGTGGTCATTCGCAACCCGAGTCGCGCTACCTTAATAGAGATCAGAGGGTTTACATGAGGATTGGTTCAGGTGGAGGAAAAAAAAGGCACTTCAGAGTTACCCTCCACAGAGAGGGCAGCTTTGCTATGCAAAAAACACCTCAGAAATGCAACAGACTTCAGACATCACACAACATAGGTGTCTACTAGGTGGGGTGGTGGGTTTGGGACTCTCCACACGTCAGTGCCTGCAGCCACGATAAGCAGTGCACGTCACCTCAGTCGTCTGGACAGGGGAGGGAGGTCGTTGAGGTTTGGAGTGTGCAGTGACTCCTGGAACGATTCGGTGGCCTTCACAGCCCACAGTCCCGCCCCGGCTGGGATAGGGAGACAGAGTAGCCATAGCGACGGCAGCATTCCACATTTCTTCTGAGGGGGGAGTATTCATTGCAGCCTTACAGGCTCAAGGGCACCAGATTCAGATTGGAAATTGTTTTGGGGCCAGACAGAGATAATTTCCTCTCTGACTTAAAGTTCCTTGGTCCTCAACCTCTCAAAATCCCAATAATGGCGTAAATTAATCTATCCCAATCCGTGCTGATTCGTCCACTCGCTCCTTGATGGCATCCATCTTTTGTGCCAACGCATAAATCTCAGCCAAAGATCCAAGCTTACGACTCATCTTGACAATTATATGAGTCTGTGCATTCACAGTGCGGTGTCATCCATCCCTGAGCTCGGGGAGAGCGCCAATATTCCTCGACAGCTTGTTAATTTTCCGGTAAGCCAGGAAGCCTCCTAGGCCAAAGAGCAGGAAACCTGACACCAACACCACGAATATCCAGATGTCTTCAGAATCCTCTACAGACAGCTGAGATAGGCAAATCAGGTTCCACTATTTCCAGGAGTCAGAGGGCAGTTTGGTGGATGACTCATGATCCAATCTTTAAGAACGGGACATTCACAATGATTGGATGAGGTTTTTCCAGGATTGTAAATTTCAGAGGCAATTACAGTTATTCCTTTTTTAGATAAAACATTTAATTTAATGGTTGCCATCAGTTATGTGAAGACCATTTCAAATGATAAGTCAAAAGATGCTTCAAAAAACATCTCCTACCCCACTCTAAAGAATAAAAGCCCTGAATCCTAAATACTGTGTGACGTGTCCGTGTGTGTAAAGTAACACTGGGATGAACCACGATCAGCTGTTTTTTGGCTTGTAGCTTATTTTTAATCAACTGGGAAAAGACCCAGACAAGTTATTTCCATGCCTCCGACTCACTCATCCTTCAAATCAGCACTCCAGGAGAGAAAATTAAAACCATTGGTAAAATGACTGAATACCTACAGACAAAGATTCATAACCATAAAACATTTGTCTTCTCCTTCCACAGTCTCACAAAACACGATAAAACCACAGCTGTTTCCTAAAAACCAAACCATCCAGATTAAAGCGGAAGCACACCTGCACCCAAAAGGTGCTTCTGGACGAGCGCATCATCACATCAACACATTTTATACACTTGCTGGCACACAACCCCCCAGACAGAGTCCTATTTTTAACCACGTGCGAGCCCGCGGGTCAGAACAGATTGTAGTTCATCTGAAAGAGCAAGTTTAAATTATACATGAAAGAGTTCTACTCTCAAGGATCTGAATGTGTTCTCACACACACACACACACACACACACACACACACACACACACACACACACACACACACACACACACACACACACACACACACACACACACAGAGAGAGAGAGAGAGAGAGAGAGAGAGACATTTGGAGGATGATCATCTACATAAACAGGAACAGGGGTTTTAGAAACTTGCATGAAACTGCAGAGATATGACTCAAAAAGCAAACAGCAGCCACACAGAGCATAATGATAATTTATTGATTTAAAACACAAGGGAGGAGATTTGGCATGGACGGAGATGACGTGTGCCCACCAACATCCAGCAATGACCATATAGTCCCCACCAATAATTTGACCACCTCGGCTAACAAACAACAAGCCATTGATCATTACCCTAGAGGTTCAGAAAGGGTTGGGGGGGTTCTTTAGCGTGAGATATTGGAGGTGTGGCGTGTGAAGAGGGTCAAATGTGTGTGTCTCACGCTCAAGTAGAGCTGGGCGATATGGCTAAAATCAACCTCGATAACGATAAATGGACGATAACTACAGATACGTGCAGAAACAAACGTTGTCCACTAGATGGGGCTGTCACATGTATTAGATTCAGTCATATTGTTACGTAACTCGGGCTGTGCAGTGGCGCAGTGGTTAGAGCTGTTGCCTTGCAGCGAGAAGGTCCTGGGTTCGATTCCCGGCCTGGGATCTTTCTGCATGGAATTTGCATGTTCTCCCTGTGCATGCGTGGGTTCTCTCCGGGTGCTCCGGCTTCTTCCCACAGTCCAAAAACATGACTGTTAGGTTGATTGGTCTGTCTAAATTGTCCTTAGGTGTGTGTGTGTGTGTGTGTGCATGATTGTTCATCCTGTGTGTCTCTGTGTTGCGCTGTGATGGACTGACTCTCTGTCCAGGGTGTACCCCGCCTACTTGCCCGTTCACTGCTGGAGATAGGCACCAGTCCCCTGCGCGACCCTAAGTGGACAAAGCGGGTTCAGAAGATGGATGGATGGATTGATGTTGCGTGACTCAAGGTGGTACAGCTTCATAAAGGGACATGAGCGTTGCCAACTTACGCACATCTTCATTTTTTATTATCAAATTTATTGACATGGGAAAAATGATCTCGATAAGAGTCAGAAATTTTGATAACAATAAATTATCGATTTATCGCCCAGCCCTACGCTCAATGCGTGAGAGTTGGCAGTCTACGCCGCTTGTTAGCAGCGCCAAAGCTCGAAGAAAAACGTTTCAGTTGTATGCTAGACTCCTGTGTTTGCACTGCGATGTGAGGGACCAAAAGCGAGTGAGTATACCCAAGGGTCCTGAGAGGACGACGCTAACTGTATAAAAGCAGCCATGAACTCGAGAGGCTCCACCGTCAATTCATATTACAGCAGTCAAGTTCCCCGACAACCAAACCACACACTTCCAGTCATCACAATAAAAGCGCTGTACACCACATCCTGTCTGACTGAATTATTCAAAATAAGAGTCTACATGGGGATTGAGGCAAAAAGAAAAAAGAAGGAGGTTGAGGACATAAGGAGCTATTTTACAAAGTAACGTGTAAGTCACTTAAAGTTAAGTTTGCTAATGAAATGAGTCAATCACAATAACGGTATTGGCAGAGCTAGGCTTTAGTGCTCAGCATACAGCAGGTAAACATCAATCAATCAAAGCTTTATTTATAAATAAATATAAATGTATAATAAACATCCGTAGCTCATCAGATGATTTACCTTTCTCTGAGAGAGGAGAACTAACCATGTTAATCATGGTTCTCTTTCTCTCTCAGAGTCTAACGTCCATTCAGACTAGGGATGTCCCGTTCCGATATCGATATCGGAAGTAATTCGATATTGGCCCAAAAACACTGTATCGGATTACTTCCGACTGCATCCAAAAACTCCGATATAAGCAGTCTGTTAAGGTTCAAATTTTTGTAACCGATTGTTAAAATAAAATGCTATTTTCTCATAATTACGGTTGCTGACCTTTTTTTCCTCAGATTGAGTAATATCACTTGATCAAGCCTTTCATACACCCACACTACGAAATAGGTAAAAGTATGTGTGACTTGTGCTTGTATCGTATCGGATTGATATCGGTATCGGTCAGTACTGAAGGCTGCAATATTGGTATAGTATCGGAAGTGAAAAAGTTGTATCGGGACATCCCTGATTCAGATGTTGGTGACACAAGAGCTTTTCAATAACATTTAACATTACAATGAAGTATGTAGAATATTGTATGTGGGGAATCAGTACTTCAGTGTTTAATCATGGATCAAAGAGAAAACAACAACACAAAATAGGAGGGAGGCAGATTTATAAGTCCCCACCAATGTCAATAGCAAATCTACACCAATGGGAAAACCCATTAAATCTTAAAAAAATGATATAAATCAGCAGAATGTGTGAATTATTTTAGCAGCAAATGAAATTTATACAGCAGCAAACTAAAAGGCTGGCAATATTCTTTTTGAAGCGCACTAAATTAATTCCAGACAGATGAAAGTGTAACAAAACCTCAGTAAAATGTGATCTATCAGACATCTTCAGATTCCCAGGAAGGCAACAGGACATGGGCAATGAGTGTGATGCAGGGGGATGATTCTTACCAGAGAAACCTTTCTGGGAGTCTCCCCCCTTCCTCTCCTCCAGCAGGTTCTCTCCATCTCCAGGGACTCCGATCACTGTGGCTGTGGAGGGGGGCCTGCTCACACAGGAGAGAACAAGGTGGTTTTTTATTCTCTTGTAGAAGAAAGCAAATCAGAGTCAGGATGATTAAAGTTTAGAATTAAGTATCAAAAAATCTGTTAAATTCATAAAACCTTTAAAATCAGACCATTAAAGGGACTTTTCGGACTTTTGAATTGTTATGCTCGCGATTGCCCCCTCAGGTCAAAAGCATAACGGCAGCTTCAATAGTAGGCTCGAGCACGAGGCACGCATGCTGTACGTGCACACTCCTTAACGAAAATAAAAGCTGACAGTCCCTTGTGTGTGTGTGTGTGTGTGTGTGTGTGTGTGTGTGTGTGTGTGTGTGTGTGTGTGTGTGTGTGTGTGTGTGTGTGTGTGTGTGTGTGTGTGTCTGTGTCTGTGTCTGTGTGTGTGTGTGTGTGGCCCGGAGGACAGAGGACAGGAGAACACGCAGCTAATTATTAAATAATTTGGTTCTGTACCTTTCTCTTCAGCACAGCCGACAAAGGTTTATGATGGGTCAGTCCTCCTGCATGCTCAGATCATTCCCTTCCCTTGCTTGAAAAATTGTTCCAAAATGAAAGTTGAACCCACATCTTTTTTATCTGTGAATTCAATGCCGTTCGGCGAGTCTCAAATAAAAATTTGGGCATCTTACTGTAAAAAAAATACCAATAATGTAAAAAAGAAACTCTAAAACAACTATGTTCACACTCAGAATTGAACCCAAGTCTTCAGCATGAAAGTCAGACATTTTACAAGGTGAGCTACACTCTAGTAACATTAATAGTATCTGTAACTTTTATATCCTTGATGACACCTGAAACAACGTCAAACCAAAGAACGGTTCGGAGCGAAAATGGCTATTTTGTTGCTAATTTGCAGGAAATATCTAGAAGAAAGTTCTACAGAAAGTAGCTAAGGGTCCTCAGAAATGTAGCTAGGTTCATCACTAGACGTTAGGAACAGCGACAAAGTCGCTGAGTTGGCACTGCCTCTCTCTCTGCTGCTAAAGCTACGGATAGCAAATGCTACGGGCGATGCCTGAGCGTGAACGCGCATGAAGCAGCCTGCTCGACCCGAGCATCTCTCTTTTTCTGTGATTTTACAGAAAAACAGGCAATCACAGTAAAAATGCCAGGGCTCATTCTACAGGACCAGGGCATTGCAGGAGAATGTATGAAGAAGACATTTATTATTTCTATACATGTTTTGGCCGTCAAACCTCAATAATGCCCCTTTAAAGCTGAGAATGAGAATCAGCTAACACACACACACACACACACACACACACACACACACACACACACACACACACACACACACACACACACACACACACACAACTTTTTAGGTCAGATCATGAGTAAAGAAGCCTTTCTCATTTTAACAACTCACTTTTTACTGACTGAATATTTCCACTAGCAAACCAGAACCACTAGATTTATCCAAATGATAAAAATAGTCTCAGCTTTTGATCTTACTGTCCAAAGTCTCACCACAGGAAAACACTCGCATCAATCTACAAACTCTGTCAAACAACAGAAAACAAAGTTGACGCCATCCTGTTTGCAACTTTCAAAAATGAGAATCGAGGTAAATAAATGATGGACTCGTGTGTCGTACAGCCATTTTTGTAACAATGGCACTTAAACATGGTTGCATTATATTGTTTTAAATATGTGACAAGCCTGTAAATCAAATCACAGAATTGAAATGCAGAATAAAATACTTTAACTGTGAGAAGTTAGAGATTTATGAAACCTACGTTTTGAAACATGGATCTCCCGACATCAGCTGTGTGCCGATGATAACCTGTTTAAAAAGAATCAAAGCATTTAAATGAAAGGAGAAAGGAAGCCGGGTGTTGATCTGATTACCTGGATGATTGTTGTTTTTTTATTATAAAACATTTCTAGTGCACATTTCACTTTAGTGAAGTTATAAAAAGACTTTATCAACATCATGGTATTTCCTGGTTGAAACGACTCAGAACCCGGCGTTACCTTGAGAATGGAGTTATCCTGACGAGTGTTTTTGGTATCGTAGCCTTCCAGCAGACACCTCCGAGTGGTGTTTCCTGAGCCGGCAAACTCCGCTAAATTCAGATCTGCAAAACCAAGCTGAAGGAGACGGAACAACCTTTTAAAACTACTTCTTCTCAGCAGACCAGTCTTTTCTCTTTTTTCTTTTATTCCTCTATAAGTAAGGGTTCAGTGAACAATTAAAAAACACATGAGATAAAGAGGCAAACTTCAGGCCATGAAGACCATCTGTTAGCTCCAGTCCAATGTCTGAGGTTGGTAGGGGAGGCGGTCAAGAGTTACCTTTGCATATGCCTTTCCACCCTTGAGCTCCTGACAAGAAGAAAAAAAAAAACATTTCTTAAAGGCTCAGCAGTAAAGAGGATGTTTAAAGTGAAGCAGGAGCATTTTACTACATTGTTTGAAAAGCTCTTAACTTACCGATGGCAACCAATAAAAGTTTTTGTCAGAGAAAGGATTCATTTGCATCTCCTCTTAAATGTACAATCCCAGAAAAACCTCATCCATTCATTATGGACGTCCCATTCTTAATGAACGGATCCTGATTCTTCCACCAAACTGCCCTCTAGACCTCCCCCCACCCCCGCTCATACCCCTTTAGGTTTACGACTCGCATGTTCTTGGCTCAAAGCAGCTGAATAGGAAGCGAAGCCAGAGTCGGGCTGCCTAATTGAACAGACGGAATGTTCCGTTCGGTTTGGTCAGCGGTCTGTATTTGTGTAGCGCCTTCTTAGGGTTCTACAGCCCCCCAAGGTGCTTCACAACACAACCAGTCATTCACCCATTCAGTACTGGTGGGTATGAGCTACGGTGTAGCCACAGCTGCCCTGGGGCACACTGACAAAGGCGACCACCACCAGCAGGCAAGACGGGTTAAGTGTCTTGCCCAAGGACACAAGAGCAGCTCTCTGGTCGGAGCCGGGATCGAACCTGCAACCTTCCGATTACTGAAAACCCCCACTGTACCTCCTGAGCTGCTACTGCTGAGTCATTTGTACATTTAAGTTAAGGAGCTGTTTCACATGTTCTGTTCTTTTTGGGGAACGTTTTGGTGGATTGGACGAATGTATCGACCATCAGTGATTGACCGAGCCCTTCGCAGGTCCCTTTTGTTTTTACAAGCCTTTTTATGCCTATGCAGATGGAACATTACAAACTTGAAAGTCGAATTAGCATCTTTTATGCAACACTCTTGTTTACATACGTGTTGAGCATCACTAGAAAGCTGGGACTGCAGTGATTCCATTGGTTTATGCCAGTCAATAATTCACTATAACTGTGTACACAGTAATAAACACCTTTGTCAAAATGCTTTGAAATAATGTCCAACTCCTTGTTGAAAGTCTGAGGGTGGGGTGGGTTCTGGAAGTTTTTTACCCGTTTGTGGTTTTTTACCAGATTGTTGGTGGCACTCAGCTGCTGTCATTTTGAAGTTAAAAATAAACTTAAAAAAGCTTAAAATCTGCCTTTTTTCACCATAAAAACACAAACCCACCCTAGCTAGTATATCAAATTACTACACGGTTACACAGCTGCACTATGCTAGGAATTATGGAACAAAAGGTGCCAACAACAGGTCTAAATGGTATGTTTTTATGGTTGTTTGAAAATATCTGTTGTGTATGGAGATGTACTACTTTTTGCAACTGTCAGATTTTATGAGTCCAGGGAAGAGCCTGAACAAATGGGGTTGGAAATTTGAATTGCAATTTCTTCAAAAAGTAGCTTGCTGAAAGATCTTTTTCTGAGAATGTACGCTCTACCTTAAAGCTGCTTTCCGGAGTTTTCCCCTTTCAGTATTTGTCAGAAATCTGTAAAAGTGATTATCTTATCATGTACTGTGATAAAATGTAAGCAATACGTCTTTATTTAACTTTTTTGCTAAGCACACCCCCTGCCCCGCAGAGCTTCGTGCAATAGGAAACTGAGCGTTGACCAGAACTAACCAATAGCGTTAGACTACCGGTTACTTGCTTCAAATTTAAGGAGTACCTCTGCTGATGCAGAGTTGATGAACTTTTCACGAACAAGTAAGTCTCTAAAATATAAATATATGAGAACACAACATGAGAATAATACTCGTAGAAAAAAATCCAGAAAGAAGCTTTAAATTTAAGCAAGATTAATTAAAAATGCAGATTCCATAAAAACATATCAAACAAATTCATGGACAAAGGCCTACTCATTATGTGTTTTTAAATGCTGTCTGTAAAATGAAAGTCACATTCAAAACACTGCATTGATAAATCTATTCAACTTCTGTATTTGCTAAATGTAAGTTTGGGTTTCACGTGGAACTCACGTTGCACCAAAAACAAGAAACTCATTTTTGATGCACAATTTTAAAGACTCATATCACACATAATCTCCATCTGTAGTCACAGTTTACCTTTCTGACAGACACACGACACACACAGGGATCCAGGACACCGGTTCCTGCACTGGCGCTCATCTTGCATGGGAAGGTGAACTGCTTCCTCCACCGAACACAGTTGGCCTGCACTTGCTCCCTGGAACAAGAAGTCACCAAGAATTACAACCACCTCAAAGGTCAGGCATTAGGAGAGGGTAGAAATGATCTGCATGGGTTGAACGCAGGGTTCTTAAAGAGCAAGTCACATCAAAATCGACTTTTTTTTAGCTGATAACAAGTATAAATGAGTGTCTAATAGTGTTGTAGACTTGTTGTATAGTCATAATTTTAGCATTTTGATGCATTTTGAATAGCTGCGCTGCTCTGGGCGGCTGCATGTTGGAGTTGCTCTGTTGACTATATGTAAGTTTTGCCTTTTCTTGGGCATTTTTTCTTCTAGTTTCTCAAGAAAAAATGTATTTTTTGGACACTTTACTTTTCTGTTTCTGGTGCTGTGAAGCTTGGAGGATTTTTACTGCTATTTTATAGCTTTTTTCACTTTTTGAGCATTTGTTATGATGCGTAACCACGGCAACTAGCTGTTTACAATCGGTAGCAGCTGATTAACATTGGAAAGGCTGAAATAATACCTCAACTGAAGCCACAAATCCCAAATGAGCTAAAATGCAAGAAGCCTGGGTGCAGAGCGGGAGCAAAACGGAGACAGAGAAAGAGGAAATTCAAACCATCTCTTCCATCGATCATAATGGGCAACATGAGATCACTGGTCAACAAGATGGAGGAACTCCAAGCCCTTTCAAGGACTCAGCCAGAGTTTCGGCAGTTTCGGAATCGCTGGAGGAGATAATGCAAAGAAGGATTCTCCAGAGAATCAAGAAGATTATGGACAACCCTGAGCATTCTCTTCACAAGACTGTCCAACAACAGAAGAGTGTCTTCAGTCAGAGGCTTCTTCAGTTTCACTGCAACACTGACCGCTACTGGAGATCCTTCCTGCCAACAGCCATTGTAATATACAACAACTCTTTGATGACTTGATTATTATTATTTTTATTCTGAGCTACTACAGCAATCAATTTCCCTCTGGAATTAATATAGTATTTTTGAATTGAATTGAATTTCTTTGAAAACTTTAAATTCTGTCTAAAAACGTCAGTCTAGCGCCCTCTTCAGCTCAAAAGTATAGAAAAAGTTTATTTTGAGCCATTTTTAGCCAATGGCTAACGAGAACGTCGCTACGTATCTAAGGAAAGTACTACGTAGCAGCTCTGTGGCTGTAGGTTATAGAAGCATCGCGTCTCAACCAGCCTTGAAGCAGTCAGGGCTCGGATTAGCCGCAAGTGAGTTGTGCTGTAGTTAGCATTAACATTGTGTCAGAGTCCCAGAAAAGCTTCTAGTATTATAATTATTTAGTTGTAGTAGCTTGGCTATTAGATTGTAGTTTAGTGTTATTTTTAACATGCAACTCTTTCACCAATTCGATGGGAGTTTGAACCGGTGTTAGAGCAAAATCTGTGACCTAGCGTAATCTGTGACTGTGGGGGGCGCTAATAACTTTCTCATTTTATGGGTCTTACAACAACAGAAGAAGAACAGCGCTTATGTAAACTGCGTAACAATTGTTCCAGCGGAGATTTTGGGCTTCACGGTTTCTTCTAGCATTTGATAAATGTTGCATTGACTGAAAATGTAATTTATGTTGAATACAAAACTATCTGCTGAACTTTCTAACGGATCGCGGGTGTTGTTGGATGTTCAAAATGCTTTTTTCTTTATTTTCTCCTGCATCCTTACAGCAGCCTGGACTCACTGTTCGTTTTTATTGGTAGAAAATTCTGTCACCCTGGTGTAAATCCATAATAGTCATATGAGTGTAATAAAACAGTATAATTTGGTTCTTCTACCTCCTAAACATAACCTGGACTCAGCTGACTCTACTTACAACCCTCAAATAATAAGCTGGTCACCATATTTGAATAGGGAGAAAATTTTGTGACCTTAAATCCATAATATTCATGTAAAAGTTGGATAAAACCGTTTAATTTGGTTCTTCTGTCTCCTAAACATAGTCTGGACTTATTTGACTCTACTTAAGACTCTCCTGTAACAAATAACAAGCTGGTCACCATTTTTTACATCCAGCACCTTCCTCAGTAGAAATGAATCTGGGGGCAAAAGGAGACCCATCCAAAATGGCGGCCGGCCACTATGGCAGCGCCAGTCCACTGGGTGTCTACGTATATATGTCTGTGGTAGACCTGCAGTTTATAGACTTGAGCAATGGCAGATCCACCGAAGGAACGGCATTTAGTACGGACTCTGGCCTAGCCGTGTTGCTAATGAATAGGTAAGCAATAAATTATTTCACCGGGGTAATTGTGTTTGGTCGGGCATAAAGTTGTTATAAAGTCCTGATAAAACTTTATCCAACGCTGAAACACCGCTTAATGTGTTTGTTTGGGAACGAGTTGGAAAACAGCCAACAAACATGCCCTTTTTTGACTGTGACGTTATTATGCTAGCCTTGAGAGGCGACAGAGAGCATAAAGCCGCAAAGTTCAGGAGTGTGTCTTTTAACTCCCCGTGACATCATAACTCTTTAACTGTACAACAGAGAAAAATTACGTCAGATTATATCAAAGAGACATTTGATAAAAGATCAGAGACATGATAAAACTATTTGAAGTAACACTAAATAGTTTTTAACACTTTAAGCTATTCCTTTAAAAGTGGGTTTATGTGCACTCTGCTCTTTATCTGCTTTACGGCTGTTAGCTGTTATGCTAGCAGTCAGCATTTTCAGTTTGCCGATCGTCAATAAAAAAAAAACACAAGAAGAAAAAAAATGAAGTTTGTTTCTCTGTTTGCATCATGGCTGAGCTTGGAAGTAAAAGTAAGAGAGTAATGTCTTTGGAGGCAAAGCAAAGAGCTAAAACCAAAGCGAACATCGCCTACACTAGTTTGAAGGAGCTAAAGGAGGCTACAAAATCACAGACTGCTGGTGACCTGGTTTTGTTGCTACTGGACTTATAAGTAATACTTTTTGTTCAACAGTGTGGATCTTTTTTCTTTGTGGTTTATTATACTACTAGTTATTTCAAGTGAGATGTAGTAGTGTGAAACGTGTGGGCAACAACATAAGCTGTTCAGAGATAACCAAGTTGAACGTTTAATAAAAGATTGATTGTGTCACCATCACACAAGTCAGATCTATTGTGCAGGATTAGATGTTAATCTCCCTTCCTATACTCATACTTGAGGCACTGATAAAAAACAACCACTGAAACTGAGTGAGTACTCAACTAAAACATCTCCCAGCTCATCCCTTCTCAAAGGTACTTACTTAAAAAGCAGAATTATTGTATATAGATTCATGTTTGGGTCACAACGACAGCAGTGGTATGCGTCAACGTGACTGCTAGAAGACATTTCCATTCTCCTCCATCTGGAGGTTAAACTGCACGTGAGTCGTAGCCTCCTCTCAGCCAAAATGAAAGAGAAAGGCTTGTGTGCGTGGGCTGAATTACGATCCCACAGATGGCCTCACTTTCGCTGGTGTCCTCTTGTCTCCCACTCACTCACCATACCAACTCCAATCTGTTCATCTAGGCTTACACGAAATACATTAGAGCTGAATTTACGCTTTGCTTAAAAAAAGCTTCTGCATAAATTTGAAGAAGACGAACAAGCCAAAAGAAACTGAGTTTTAATAAACTGACTTTGCACTCACTTAAAAACAGCTCACATAAGAGGTAGAGGTAAGGCTAAAACAGAAGTTGCACACACTCACATACACACACACACACACACACAGCCAGTTTAAAGGGACAGGCGTAACGGCAGCTTCAATAGTAGACTCATGCACGAGGCGCGCATGCTGTTCGTGCACACTCCTTAACGAAAATAACAGCTGAGACAGTCCCTTGTGTGTGTGTGTGTGTGTGTGTGTGTGTGTGTGTGTGTGTGTGTGTGTGTGTGTGTGTGTGTGTGTGTGTGTGTGTGTGTGTGTGTGTGTGTGTGCGTGCGTGTGTGTCCCGGAGGACAGAGGACAGGAGAATGCGCAGCTAATTAATTAAGTAATGTGGTTCTGTACCTTTCTCTTCAGCACAGCCGACAAAGGTTTAAGATGGGTCAGTCCTCCTGCATGCTCAGATCATTCCCTTCCCTTGCTTGAAAAATTGTTCCAAAATGAAAGTTGAACCCACATCTTTTTTATCTGTGAATTCAATGCCGTTCGGCGAGTCTCAAATAAAAATTTGGGCATCTTACTGTAAAAAAATATACCATTAATGTAAAAAATAAACTCTAAAACAACTATGTTCACATCCAGAATCAAACCCAGGTCTTCTGCATGAGAGTCAGACATCTCACTAGGTGAGCTAAAGCAGCCTTTCTCAAATGGGGGTGCGCGTACCCCTGGGGGTACGTAAAGAAACTCCAGGGGGTACATCAGAGAAGCAGACTGTGTCTAAAAAAAGAGCTTGATCACAGCAGTTGCCTCCCTGCCACCAAGGATGAAAAAGATCCTCAGTGAAGCACAAGCCCAAGTGTCTCACTAAAAAGTCTATAAAAACACTCCGATCAGTGCAGTAATGTTAAGATTTCAGTCTTCTTTTTGATTTAAAAAAATATATTTTGAGATTTACATTTGTTTTTAGCAATTGCTATTTAAAATGACGTTGATGATTTCTTTTAGAGAACAGATATACTATGATCCCAAAAGAGAACACTTTATGTTGATATGCTTTTTATGAGCACAAATCTTTAATTATAATTAGCTTAATCATTTCTTTGGCCTGTATTTGATTTTTTTTATATATTTCTAGTTATATATATTTTTTTTCCAAATAGTTCAAGAGATACTACAAAAAATGTGCAGTGTTTTGCACAATAATGGATTTTTCAATGGGTAATCTTATGGTTTTAAATAGTTTTATGGTGACTGTTTTCAATTAATTGATTAGAATCACATTTTAGTGATGAAAAATATTTCCAATACATTTAGTTATGGAGTATTAACTTTTAAAATATTCAAAATAGTTTTTTTGATGGGTGGAAGGAATACTTTGAGGAGCTCCTCAATCCCACCAATGCGCATTCCGAGGAGGAACCAGAGCTGGGAGGCCTGGGGATGGA